CTAGTTACCGATAAAATATAACTAAATAAAGTTAAAAGATAAGAGTCTAAAAATGTAACTAGATAAAGTTAAAATTATTTAACTTTTTAACTTTTTAACTTAACTTTTATCTTTTTAACTAGACACTACCCAACCTTGAGTATAAACAGTTCATAATAAAAATAGAATTCAAAAGCAATGATAATCAAGAACATTTTGTTACTGATACATGAGAATGGTCTTGGAAATGATATTCGCGCACTCGTGTATCTGTTCCTCCGTGATGATCAACGGCGGCGCCAGACGGATGATGTGACCATGCGTGGGTTTCGCCAGGAGACCGTTCTCCTTCAGCTTCACGCAGATGTCCATGGCGTCGAGCTTCTTATTGACGACTACGGCGTTCAGGAGACCCTTTCCGCGCACCAAGGTCACCACCTCCTTCGGCAGTTTGTTCAGCTCCTTCCTGAGCACGTGACCGAGCTTTTCCGCGTTCTCGGCGAGCTTCTCTTCCTCCAGAACGCGGAGCGCTTCAAGGGCGATTCTGCATCCCAGCGGATTACCGCCGTAAGTCGATCCGTGCTCGCCGGGTTTGATTGTGAGCATCACGGGATCGTTCGCCAGCACACCAGAAACGGGATAGAATCCTCCGGAGAGTGCTTTGCCCAGGATCAGAATGTCCGGTTTCACATTCTCGTGATCGACGGCGATTCGTTTTCCCGTCCTCGCCAGACCGGTCTGCACCTCGTCCGCGATCCATAGAACATTGTACCTCGTGCAGAGTTCTCGGACTCCCTTCAGGTATCCGTCCTGAATACACAATTAATACATATTGAAAGATAAATATCGTAAATTCCTTGTTTTTGAACGCAGTACGTTTTATACGCGACGTTACCTTGGGAACCACGACGCCGGCTTCGCCCTGAATAGGTTCTACCATGAAAGCGCAAACGTTCGGGTCCGCGATAGCGTTTTCCAGCGCTCCGAGATCGTCGTAGGGAACGATCTCGAAACCGGGCATAAACGGCCCGAAACCGCTATAGCTGGACGGATCGGTGCTCGAGGAAACGGCGCTCATTGTTCTGCCCCAGAAATTACCCTCCGCGAACACTATTTTGGCCTGATACTGCAATATGCCTTTGGACGTGTAACCCCATTTGCGCGCCAATTTACACGCCGTCTCGCCGCCTTCCACTCCCGTGTTCATCGGCAACCATTTGTCGTATCTAAAGTCAAATATATATATATATATATTTATAGGCGCAGAAAATCCAGAAAATGTTAGGTACACCGTATATAACACTTATCTTATAGATATGTATATACATTTTTTTTTTATTTCTACATATCCTTTCGTTTGATCAGTTAATCTTATCGATACAGAGCAGGAGTTTCGTGTTAAGATGTACGATAAGAATTCTTCACGTACCCAAAAAGTTTTGTAATATATTCTTCAAATTCACCCAGAACGTCGGAATAAAACGCCCTGGACGTCAGAGTCAGAGTCTTCGCCTGTTCGACCATCGCTTTGTAGATTCTCGGATGACAGTGACCTTGATTCACAGCCGAATAAGCGCTCAGGAAGTCGAAGTATCGTTTACCCTCGACGTCCCACATAAAAACACCCTCGCCCTTGCACAGGGCCACAGGAAGGGGATGATAATTGTGAGCGCCATATTTGGATTCGCGATCGAACACCTGTTGAGATGTGATTGTCCTGGAACATTGAATACGCTGGAAAAAGAAATAAAATATATATTTTTCAATCTTTTGTTTTTTTTTTCTTATATCTCGTGGAAAGGTATTTTTAATATTTATTTATTCAACTATACTTTGATCCTACGCTTTGTATTTTACCTAGTTGGTTTTTATTTATTCTTCAAATTTTAAAATTGTGTATATCTATAAAATTAACAAAATAGAAAAATAATATTTTAATTTTTTTTATAGTATGATTATATTATATTTATTAAATATTATTTTACGTAATGCGCGAAATTGGACAATGATGAAATTACTGCTAATTATATTACCTGTGAGCGCAGCAGCGTTCTTGCCGTTCCTTTGATACCTCGTAACGCTACTCTCACTAATGGGTCCATTGAAGGAATTGTTGAGTCACTCCCTTGTTAATTAAGGCGTACGACAATAAACCGTGGAACCACGACCGAGAGGGATTTGATATCAGAGTTCTTCAAGCGTGAGCTAAGTGGTTTGTCGTAAATTGAAGTGAAGCATTCGCTAGAAGTTTGCTGTTCTCTGCTGTCTCAATTACAGCGAAGTGAAAGTTTTGTGTCAGAAGTTACGGCACATTTCACTTTTGTCTAAAAAAAATTTAAATGTCGAAGATAAATCAATTTATCACACTAATGGATCTTTCTGCTGAACAAGCTCTCAAGAACAAGGAATCGTATACGCGATCGTAGTACAAATTTGTTATGTAATGTAATGTAACAACTTGTTATGTAATTGTCAACTGTGTTTGTTGTACTTATTGCGTTTTTAACAACGTAAAAATTATTTATTAATAAAATATCTTTTATTCGCGTAACAACAGTTTTGTTTCAAGTTCGTTTCAAGTTGCAAAAGTACGAACTTTTATATTAAACACTCTTACGGATATTATCATATTTGTGTGTAAGAATATATTAATTTTTAAAGTAAAAAAAATGGCCTCGCAAATTAAAATCAGTATTACGTCGTTAAATTGTATTTTCTTGTGTGCCGACATACACGGACCGGTCGATGACTTGCCATTAATAGATGTGTACATATTTATTTGTAACAAATAATTTTCAAATTTTCAATAGTATCCCTTTTTATTTATTGTTATTTATTTATCTTTCTATTTTATATTATAGCTGAAGAAGATAAAAATATATGATCGAAACGTTCTGTTCAATGTGTTTGAATCTTTTTTACTTGAAAAAATACCACTGCGGAATACCAGCGTATTTGGTCCGTTTATACTGATATTAATTTTTATATAAATTACCTTATAGTATATAACATACTTCTATGTCATTCCAAAAAACTGTGACCTGTGATTACTCGACGCGGATTTGTCTGAGCGACTAACTGTCGTTAGACTGACTGAGCCGGTTCTCGATGAACGTATGAAAGTTTATCTTAATTGTACACACGAGTAACCAGTAAGTTTACAGAAGATAGTAGGGCGGTATTATATCACGGTTTTTCCGTTGTCACTCATGTGTCGAAGTACAAACTCTTCCCCTCTAATATGTTTACTTTTATAAAATTGTCAAGCCGTGTGTCATCATTGCCGATAAAAACAACGATATTCGTTCTGATAGGTTTACGTAAGAAACGATTTCAACAAGGTGTTTCGAAACAATTAAGCCTACGCGAATTTAGATAATCAATTTGTGAAAAGTAATCGAGCAATTCGAGTATTCTGTTTGCGTCTTTTGAAGTAGTCATAAATTAAATGATTTTCATAAATTTGTTTTTGTAAGATTTTCTCTCTTATACGTACAGAAAAAAAACATTGCGCTAAAAGAAATAAGTAAATAATAAACATCATCATCTCAATAAAATGTTGCAATGTCGCAACAAAACTTATTACTGTACAATAGAAAACAGAATGATCATGTAATGAAGAATTTGAATTATACATGGATTTTCGTGAATGACAGGTATTACATCTGTCGAGCGCCGATAGTTGGCGTAAAAAATTGTTTTGATGCGGTTTCTATTTGACGCCTTGGATATATTTTGACCGCCAAATTCGTACAAAAAAAAAACAACATTTCACGCCTGACGCATGCGCGGAACATGTGCAACCGTGGCGCTGTTCGAACCAAGTGAAACATTCGAATTCAGTTGAAACGATTCTCGAGCCGAACTTGCCACTTTGCCGTGTAAGTGGTTCTCAGCAATTTTCAGTTCTCGTCGTCTAATTCAGTCTGATCATGAATGACGATAGTGATGATGACTATGAGACAATTCGACAAAAAAATATATCCGAGAGAAATGCGCTTGTAAGTATTTTTTAATTCAATAAATAACCTCGGAAATCTTCGAGAAACACGGCAGTGTCTCGCGCCAAAAAAAAAGAGAAATCGAAAGTTTGCTTGCAATTTGAAAAATTTCGCTGCATCGATGTTTTTCTTGTGTCTAGTTTACCGAGCTCTTTAAAGACATAAAGAAGCAAACCAGCGAACTCACGCAATTGCAAGAGAAACAAGTAAAAAACAAGGATGAGGAAAGTTCGAGCGATTGTGAGAATCAACCACCAAAAGTCAAGAAAAAACAACGCAAACAAAGTTCACAGTTTCGTCGAACGTACAACACTAGAAGTAGAGCTCAAAAAGCGTCCAACGGCACTATATCGCACGACGAAACAGATGATGAAGAAGACAATCGCAGGACTAAACGATCCTCTAGGTTGAAGGTTTTATTTCCATGGGCGAAACCGGCTCAACGCTACATCGATATGATGAAAGTCGTATGTGATGTGGACGAAGAACAAGAAGAAGAAACAGATAGTGATAGCAGCTATGAAGATAACAAGTACCGGAAACGAAAAAATTACAAAGTAAAAGCAACATTCAATTCTGCAAATGCTCTATCAGTAGACGAGATTACGCAAGAGATGTTGGATAATATAGCTGACAAATTTTCGAGTAAAATATATTGTAAAGTCGGTGGTACATCTTGTCACCAATGCAGACAAAAAACTTTGGACACAAAGACGATTTGCAGATCAGGACATTGCATAGGCGTTAGAGGCCAATTCTGTGGGCCATGCTTAAGACTTAGATACGGTGAAGATGCAGTGGATGCACTGAAAGATCCAGTAAGTTTCATTCTTTTGTTTCTGACTTGCATTTTTTGTGAAAAAAATTGTTCATTCTCAAATATAAATGTTTCTGAATCTAAATGATTTTCTAGGATTGGGCTTGTCCACCCTGCAGAGGCTTGTGTAACTGTAGCATATGTCGTACTAGAAACGGACGTGCACCCACAGGAATGTTAGCTCCTCTTGTAGAGCAAGCTGGATTTTCATCAGTTTTGGCATATCTGCAAACAAAGGAAGATGGAGATGAAGATACAGAATAATATTGGTGATCAATGTTTTCGTTAAATGTTTTTCAAAAAGTTATCGAACATGTTAAAAAAATTTTAACGCGAGAAAAGTATCTACTTTTCCAGACAAATCATGCATTGAATGCGGTTATACTTTGAAATCATTGAGAAAAATATTTATAATCATTATTTATTTAATTTATATATATTATGTAATTTATGTGATTTGTCACAAAGCAAGTAAATAGCAATTTCTAATTTTAGTTTATATTTTAGAATATTTTTTAGTCTATTTAACAGTGCGTACAAAAGTTTGTTAGAAAAATTGTCAATTTCAATTTGTTTTATAAATCAATTATTTTTATTAATATTTTAAATCGTATACAATAACATCCTCAACTTTTTAAAAAATTTATACACATTTTATAAATCCGTTCCCAATAATCGATAATACTTTTTTTTTGTTGTTTCTTCCGTCTGTTACATATATATTTATGTTTATTTTATTGCGAATATTGCGTAACGTCTGGGGGAGAGTGCTGGATCAAACAAGCGTACTACAGCGACCTTCGAGCACTGACTGTTATTTTGCAGAAATACTATTCTGTCCAGTATGATAGCCGCCTCCACTACCGAACTCATATATATTCTCAGTACTTGAAACAGACGAAATTTTTCTTCAAGATGTATGTGATTCTGATATATTTTCTGTAACGCATGAGTTGATGGTATCTAAAAAATAAAAACTGATGTGATAAACTTTTCTATTGTTTTGTAAACAACGAACTTGCGAGATCGAACATACATCAGCGTACCTGTTTGTTATCTATTCCGATTTTGGATAGCGCCCATTTGGCGTAATCTACAAAATTGTCCAACGGCCCACCGCGACCGACTTTAGCATTGTAATACCCTGTTGAAAATAATAAGAGAACATTATTTTTATATAATATATATAGTAGACAAGTGTGTATCTTGTATTTCCGTGATCTGACCCATAGATTGCAGGACAACTTGCAACACAGCTCTGTAAAATAACGAAGAAGGAAGATGCTTGTGTTTGCTCCTTTCGAGAGATTGTTGAGCCAACATTCTGGCGTTTTTCGAAAAATTACAACGTCCGCTCAGCGACTCGTCTGCTAAGTGATAACAACACGGGACTACAAAAAGTAAATGAATATCTTCGGCGCGTAAAAAGGCTTTGATCACAGAATGCACCAGATTTCCGCAAGTATGCAATCCCGTCAGAATGAGATTTCTGTTCAGTCTCCAATCGGGATAGCACGTGTTAACCATTTTGGCGTAATCAGTTGTATCATTCAGTTCTTGAACTACGTATCGAACCTAGAAAAGAAAATCAGCATTAGAACTGTAATATGTGTAGTAAAAAGTTTACATTGAATACAGAACCGAATGAAGTATTAAACCTTAGACAATCGCGATTGTTTTCTCTTCTGGATCTTTTCTTGACGATTTATCGCACCTTTGTAACAGACTTGCGACGAATCGATCGCCAATACAGGAACGTCAAAGTGTTCGGACAAGTACGTCGACAGGTACGCCTTTCCTGCGCCAGCGTCTATCACTAGACTGCGAGTGGAAAGTGCCATTTCAGCGGCCACTTTTCCGAGAACTTCGATCTCGTGTGATTTTTTTGTTTTCATGAATTCGGACTTCGGGCGAACGAACGTGTTAACTTGTTCCTTATCGAGGAACCAGTTCGGCAGATCGTCCGCACACACGACCGCTGGACACGATTCCAAAGACAGCGATCTTGTCAACTGTATGAAACTGTTCAGTTCCGAGTTCACGTTGTTGTTCTCCGTCCACACGTCGTCGCTCATTGTGTTAACATTCTCAAGCTCCAATTTCAGTTTGTCCGGCAAACACTTGTTCCACAATCTTTCCGTGATGAAGTCAACCAAATGGCAGTCTATTAGATCCTGATGAGCACCAATAAACTCCAAGGCTTTCTCAAAATAATTATTGTATTCTGTCATCGTCCTTGTGTTAAAATTCAAGCTTCTCCGCCTCGGGATATGATCGAGGATAGATCTTTGCCAATGAACAGAACTTGGCGTATTTGATCTTGATGTTTTCCACAGCCTGCAGTATGTCTAGATTGTTCTGATGTTCGGGAAAGACACCGCGAATTTCCGCTAACAGCTGTTTCGCTGTCGCCACTGTTTTCTCGCAAGTGTTAACATTACTCTGCAAATAGTGATCCAAAACTCCGCTGTAATATCCCAATTGAGCAGCTATTACGCTACCTCTGTGGTATCCTAAGTGATATCCCTTCAACAGTTGCGTCTTTCCACTTTCGTAGCCTTTTTCATAGCCCGATTTCTGTGCAATCTCTTCCGCAAACAATAAATCCTCAAAAGCCTTGTTCACATCCAGATCCTTCTCTTCCTGAGACATAATTATATCAACTGAAAAGATATAACAGATTTAGTGTTATTTTGGTTCTCATTAAAAAACAGTAGAAACATTTTTAAAACGTTCAACTTTTCCACTGTGTTTCTACTTACATTTATTACACTTTGTTTTTGTTTAATGCAAAACAATGTACTACAGAAATTATTATGGAAAATAAATATGCGACTTCTTTTTATATAAAAAATAAATATAAATAAATCACTTGAAATTACACTGCCAAATGTCATGAACGAGTGAGAACAAATCACGTGCGTGAAACAACATAAACTTATCGACTCTCTCAAATGTATATATAAAACTATAAATGTATACAGAACGCGATAATGCAACAGCACACGATTTTCTGTCCGCAATTACAAGCGTGATCACGCGAGAAAAAAAGATTGTTATATTCCTAGAAATATTAATCTTTCCGATCTAAGGCACATGCAGTAAGTAATTTAACATTTCGTTCAAATAATCAAGTGCCAAAACTTACATATGTGCATAGAGGGAATCTTGCACACGGAATTTACAGGTTATTATAGTGACGTGTTCAGTACACACATATACGTATACCTATAGATGCGGTCAAAGTCTTACTGCAGATGTTTTGAAACATCATTCTATCTTTATTCTACATGTAACGAGAAATAAAGATAGAATGATGTTTTGAAACGTTTGCAGTGAGATTTTGACCGCACCCTATATAGTTGCGGATACAGTCACGGTTTCCGCACACATTTTCTTTTTTTACTTCCAAAATAAAATTTGTAGTGTATAATGACAGACGAGCGGAATTTTCGGTCGTCGTACTACGAGAAGGTAATGTATAAAATATATAAATCTATGTAATTTTCAAATTGACACATATTTCGAGCAATATTAACATATTTCTTTGTTATTGCACAAAACTGCTTTTCACTATATAAGATTGCAAATAAATATTTTGACGTTAAACAAACAGGTCGGCTTTCGTAGCGTCGAAGAGAAAAAGTCTTTGGAAATATTGTTGAAAGAACGACCATTCGACAAGGCAAAGCTGAAGCAGTTTTGTTTAAGATTTACTGTGCCAGCTATGTACAGGAACTTCTTGTGGAAAGTGTTACTGGACGTTACACCGGTTTATATGGAAAGCCACGAGTTTATAATGGCCCAGCGTAGGAAAGAATTTCAAGATTTGCAAAGAGCATTAAAGGTTGCAAAAATCATAGACGATTATACCAAACCCCACTTAGTATTCCTGGCAATGTGGCTGTTACGCAAAAGAAGAGCAAAAGTTGATGTGACTATCCAGTTGGAATCATCTTTACACAGGTGTAATTGTGTTTGCAAAAAGTCTTGTCAATTAAAATGTTTCAGTTGATTCTATAAATTCTTGAATAATTCATATATCACACATTACAAGATTACTATTGTTAATAATAAGAGAATTTTACATGTTCCAGAGCTATGAGCAAAATAGCTGAGACACTGTGGAATGTGATTGATGTGGAGTCAGAGCAAGAGAAATTAGTGGATATGTATTGGATATTATCTGGATTCTTTGTCCAAGTGGAAAAGGTGCAAAAAGAAGTCGGGAAGTTACAGGAATGTACATACGCATTACTGGAGAGAGAGGATGCGGAACTGTACAAGCACTTTGTTAACATTAACGCGCTTCATAATCTTCCATACGATACATGGTTCTGTTCCTGTTTTGCTGGTGTAATCTGTGACGGATCTATTGCTAAGTATGTATTTTATCGAATTATGTTCGAACTACTGCAAAATATCGGCAACAGTACTGAACATTTCACTTCTGTAGGATATGGGATAAGATAATAGTGTCGAATTTTAGCGCGTATCGAATTTTAGTATTCGTCGCCGTGGTTACATTAACCACTTTAAGACGACTGCTCTTGAGATGTGAAAGCACAGACAATGTATTGGATACCGTTAATAACGTAAGACTATTAATTTAAATTAATAATGTGTTACACACAAGCACAATATGATTTTTCAGTTTACATATTCTTTTTCTAAATCTACGATCTCCTTCAGATAACAGAAGAAACGTCAGAAGTGATAGTTAACAAAGCGATCGAATCAATGCAACAAAGCGGAACTACTCAACAAGTTGACATGTATTTCACTAAACACAGTTAATGTTCCTGATAAAAATCAAATCCATCACTCTAGTTAATCACATGTGTATGTTAATTGATATACGTATAAAACTGATTTATCTTAAAAATAATCACTTTTTATTAATGCATTCATCGTACATTATACATATACAATTACTCAACTCCCACAACAGAGTCAAGGCTTATTTCTAAGTTTTATTTATTCGTATTCTTAATGTTTATTCTTAATCTTCTTTTTTTTCTGATTTTTGTATAATACAATCATGTATATTTATATTCCACTGTATAAGAGCGACTTTGTAATTCTAAGGAAATACCAACTGAAACTATAAAACTCTGCAGTTGCATTGTTTACGCCTGTTCACGATTTCTATTTCGGTAATTACTGATATATACCTAAGATTCTAGAAAAAACGCATAAATTTTGATATATTTCACAAAGATCACACAGAAGCCACGTACTTTTTTACCGTATCGACTGAAATCTTCACGACTCTACTTCAAAATTTGTTTCCTAACAGATTATTTCTAAACAGATGTACAAAGGAGGAATTAAAATTATATATGTATATGTATATAAACATGTATAAAATACATATTTATCACACTTGTGTTCACACAAAAATCGTATGAATATTATTCGGTAAATATCCATCAAATAACCGTTGTTTTTGAGCTGTTCAGGGAGGTAACAAAAGTGTATAGAAAAAAAAAAAAAAAAAATCACCATCAAATATAAAACTCGGTAATATTCTAAAGCATTCATACGCAAGCTCCTATAGAGAAAATGTCTAGGATTTATTGTTATGTTTCAACTAATTTGTGTCTGTTATTAATCACTCTTTGGTTTTTTTTTAAATACAAGGACTAATTGATTTCATAAGAGCTTAATGGCTTTAAGATCAGTATGGTAAGTAAAGTTACTGTTTCTTTTCTTTTTCCTTCTACGTGTTTAGTGTTTTAAACAATTTAATTCTTTTTTATATATAATACGTACTATTGTTAATAATAATACAGATTAAAAATTATGTATAAATTCACAATTTTTAATCACATGTATTAAAACCAATGCCACTGCAAAAAATAATAGGTTTTCCCTCATCAAAGGTGTTGATATTTTTTGTTTTGTAAAAATAGAGGCAAAATATACACGTATGTAAGGCCCTACATTCTATTATAGAACTGGTTTTCTTTTTTTTTTTTTTGTTTTTTTAACATCAATGACTCCGATTAACACACAATTTAAAAGTACTATCGATCATTCAATTAACGATACTGGTTTATAACGATACAATTTTCATTGATCATCGTTGATGGCTACCACTGCTTTTGAAGGACAAACTATATTCCTGCTTCTTAAACGTGTTGAGGCCCTCTCGGTACGTTCGTAATTTCTATTTAATTAAAATAAATAATTTGTGCAAAACAGAAGACACATAAAAGTCGCATGATATATATGTATATATAAATATTCGGTAAATTATGTGTCAGATGATTGTACAAGATAAATAATATTGCTATATCATCTTTCTATACAAAAAGGAAAGTACAGTTTTTATCTTTTTCAATTGTATTGTAGTTTTTTGTGTGCAAATATTATGCTTATAAGGAATGTGTAAAAGCTATTTCTAGTGTTTACGAATGTATAGGTATATGGAGATGCAAAAATATGTTGCGATTTACATTAGCACTTGACACGTGTATGTGTATGTGTGAGACGAGGTATAACAAAATATTATCAGGAATACAAAGAGAAAAAGGATACGACATCAAAGTAAATATTTTCATCGAACAAATAATTTTACAAATCTAATAAAAATACTGATTACGAATTTCCATTGGTGGTGTGCCGTTTTGTGCCGTCGGCAAGCTGCATACAAATTAGGAGTCACTGATCATTTCGCAAAAAAATTATCATCTGATTTTAGCGATTGGCGCGAGAATCTCGAAAAGGAAGAACTAATTTTTTTTCTTTTTTTTTAATAATGTTTTCGCCTTTCGTAACGTAACGTAACATGCCTGTCGTACGATATTATACTCAAGTTTGAGATCAACCCATGTATTTATCGCACAAGCGCCGCTTGCGGAAAATTTGTCACAACCTAAACATTAAGTTTTCTTCCATCGATAATCCTAAAACCAAGCTTCAGTTACTGTCTTAAACAAATAGTATAATACAGTATAGACAACTCTATTACAGTCTAGAGCCAAGTCAGGTGCACATCATAGCGACATTTTCTCTCCCTCTCTCCCCACCCCGATTAAACGTGGAGTTACATGTCGCTTATTTAATAACGTTCTCGTCTTTTTGTTGCGTATGCTATGGCTTGCCTTACTTTTTTATCAATAGACACTATAGCGCGGCGGAATTGCAATTGTCGACTAGTGGTGACAGCGGACCGATCTTTCCCCTGCCACTTCGATCTGCCTCGTATTGTACATCCAAGGACAAACCTACAATGAAACCAATACTTTAAGATTTTATATTGTTACAATAAATAAACGATTCATATCTTTAATATTTTCATGTGCTATTAATTGTAAGTATAAGAGAATATGTTCAAAAAGATATAAAGAATATACATGAACTTAATTATTCAACAAATCGATGAAAATCAGCATTAGAATAGTGCTCAACAAATCCCATCACCATAAACATATTTGGCATTTAGGATATTTGACAACCTGTAACGTACATTTCTGATATGCGTATTTACCGGAGGGCCTCCGGGAAGTGGATGGATGATGCAACGATCCTGTTGACATCGTATTTGATTCGGGAATAAACGCGGCTACTAATAGCGCACAGATTACGAGTAATGCGCCAAATACAAACGGCGGCCCTGGCACGAGCTGGAAATATAATTTAATTAGCATTCTATTTTCGAACGACTACTTTCGATTACTATGTTCGATTACTGCAATATTTGCACTTAAAAACGCATAAATTTTTCTGTGTTGCTTTTCATTAACTAATGCTTTTTAATTTTTTATATAAGACACAACAAAAAACAAAACGAAAAACAAACATAAAGAAACTATTCTTACCTGTAAGTATAATGTATGTACCTGGGGCATTATATCAAGATGCGTACTAGTTCCCGTTCTGTTGTTCTCGTCCACGAATGACGATTTTAGAGGGAGATTTGGCGTTTCGTCGTTAAGATCAACGTGAAAAAGATAGAATATGACACCGAACATGGCAGGGCCAAGTCCATTGCAGAGACCACGCATTCCAGTTACCATACCTTGTACTAACCCTTGCTTATCGGCGTCAGAATGCATGGATACGAATGCAGAAATTGCGGGATATGTGATGCTTGATACAGAAGCAAGCACTCCAGCAGCCCACATCATCCTTAAAATAATTAACACTCCTTAAAATAATTAACATCTATATCAAATACTGATATAAATTCAGTATTTTCTAAGATTTAGTATTTTCTAATATAAAAACTATGAGTATATTAAACAATAGTGGTTATTATATTTATGTGAATAAAGAAATTCCATTACCATGTTTGTGAGCCGAATCCGTACCACATGAGTTGTAACATTTCGAACAACAGACCAAGCATTATGGTATGCTTGCTACCAAGTGTTCTCATCAAGGGACCTAATATAATCTGGGCACCGACGCTCAGGATGCCCACCACGGCGATAAATATAGCCACCATGAAGCCGGAAAAGCCCATAGCCAGTTTTAAATAAACAAATATACAACTATACTGTCCGGCTTCGGGTAGGTAGCTCAGGAACACAGTGACACACAGCATTAAAATAGTATGATCTTTTCCAACCTGCAAAACAAATCATCACGTCTCTTTTACGATATGCGTACACCGCGTAATTTTCTCACTTTTGAAAATTATAACACACTGTAGCCTTTCCTCATATTTTAAATTTATTAAAAAAAAAAAACAAAAATAAAATATGTAATTAATGTTTACCTTTCCCAGAGCTGCAAATGGATCTGCTTGCTCCCACGATATAGGTGCTGGTGGACGTGCTTTCTCAGGCAAACTTTCAGGTACAGCCACTAATATAAAAAACACATCCAGTACTGCAATTGCAGTTGCTAAAGCTACGGCAAGATTTTCACCATATGTTGTCATGGTATAAGCCCCTAAAGCGGGACTTATTACCATACTTGCGGCAAAAGTTGCTGACACCTGAGAAGAGAAACAAATAAATACGATTTATTTTTCAAATTATTATCTTTTTACTGTTACTTTTTTGCGCGATACGAAGGTCTCGCATCTAAATACATATATGTAAAAAAAAAAAAAAAAAAAAAAAAAAAAAAAAAAAAAAAAAAAAAAAAAAAAAAAAAAAAAAAAAACAACGCCGAACAGAAATGGACACGTACCAAGCCGTACGCTAGTGATCTTTGATTTTCTTCCGTCACATCTGCGACGTATGCAAACACCACGGAGAACGTGCATGCGAATACGCCACTGATGGAAATCATGGCGAAGAACCACCATGTGTTGATGCTCATTAAAGGTATCGGCGCACACGTGAAGGCCACTGTGATGAGTAGAAAGAATTTTCGACCCCACACGTCGGAGAGGGCGCCAATCAGTGGCGCGGAGAGAAAAGATAGGATTCCTTTGATGCCCATTATCAAGCCATTCATTAGAAACGTGTGATCCGGAAATGTTTCGTTTAGTACTGAGATAATGGGCATGGTTAACAACCCCCATGCAAAGAATTCCAAAAATATTACAACCAGCGCGTGGTACACGCTCGCCTCGCCGATACCGGAACTCTGGAAAAAAAAAAGAAAAACGAGAACGCACGATAAATAACATTACGACGTGTGAATTTGCAAGCATAATATTACAAAACAGTCTTTTTAGTGCAAGCGACTGCAAGATGTTTCTTTTAAACTCGAGCAAGAGAGAGAAAATATGGGCGATCTTCCGCGCACGTGTGTGTGATTGAGAAAATATTTATGATATTTTTGCAGCTGACCTTGAGATGTCTGTAGCATTGCTGGGCGAATGTGAGAGGAGGTGTGAGCTTAGCTACAGCGTGATCTTGAGTGTTGTGTATCTCAGAACAGGACGGGCCCAGGCCCTCTGTTCCGCCACTTGCCCCGGGGGGCATGACCCCTAAGAAATGTTACTGCGTATGTTTTTTTTCATATTCACATTTTAACTGGGCGCCTCTGTCATCATTTTGCTCGCGCGCACGCATTGCAAAAAGCGATAGATAAGCCTCCTTTGTTCATGTTAGCGCACCGTATCCGCGACTCCGGGTTAAATATTTCGGATTTCAGTTTATCCCTCGATATTCTCAGATTTGTTGCTGCAATCACCGAGTTCATGCAATCGCTTCTCATAGCTTCTACGAAAGCGATCTCCGAAATACACAGAATATATATATGTCGCACCGTAATCTAAATCTAATATATTATGCACCTTGTTTTCTTTTGTAAATAATTTCTTTTTTTTTACATCATTTTCATCACATTATCTTTGCGACATTTTATATGTACGTGTGGTAAGAAATAATGGCAATAATTATAATAAAGCTACGTATTTGTCTTTGCTATACTCTGTTTGCGTTTTGCACATATTGAAATCAATAATGTCTCTTTGTTTAAAAAAAAAACTCTTTTAAAGATTTGTGACACTTCAATAAAGCTCGTCAGGTTTTTTTTTTTTGTTTTGTAATCTCTCTTCTATGTACACCCGATGATAGATATTCCCGTTTCACCGCGAGTTTCTCAATAAGAACTATCAATTATAATCGTTTAAGTACCGTGCAATATAAGATCACTCTGCTCACGTCATGTGCTTCTTTTTCTCTTTTAAATTCTTAATTACACTTATGAGAGGATTATGTCATGATTTTTAAACTTCCTGGGAATCAAATTGTCAATGTGTTTGAACTTCAGTGTGGCAGTGCGAAACTCATGCTGTGATATATTCCTCTTTCTCTCTGTTGCATTTCTTCCCTCAAATCTGTGCTCTCAACATATACATATATATTTTTTCAGTGTTACGTATAGATATACAGACGCGATTTGGTGATCATCTAATTATATGTCAGAATTAATGTTCTTTTCATCGTTTCACATTTTTAGTGCCAGATCCGGAGTACGTCATCGAGTGATTTTTCTTGGCAAGTCACGAGATCCGCGGGTTTAGACGAGCGAGTTTAGCTTCACGACTGGCTACATTGTTCAGGAACTGGAGCTCAGAAAAACGGAGCGGACTGGCGTTCACGTCCTTTCTGCGCGCGAACGTACGTTTTTTCTTCTTGTGACGAATTCCATCTCATGATGAGGGAAAAAATTGCGCGTTCAAACAATCGAGCGACATCGGCTGATCGCTCCTCTTCCAAGTCCATCGACGAGCGAAGTTCGCACGGCCTTGACTCGGTCGCGCACAGCCGCGTTCGTGACGTCACACAGGACTCCGCGAAAACGAAAGAGGGTTTACGATGGAGCGTCTCACGTCCGCGGGGTTTTTGCACGCGCGATCTTCGACATCCGCAGGTACATTCGAAGGCTGACTTCGTTTCCGAAACGATCGGCGGCTCCGTGACCGCGGACGGAGTTGTTCTTCTTCCCCTCGCTCGTCTTTCACGCGTGTCTCCTCTCTTCTCTCTCGCTCGTATCTTTCTCAGGATCGCAGCCGTGCGTCGGCGGCTGTCGAACGATATCACCGACGATCACATACCTCCGGCCGAGACACGTCGACGCGCTGTCAACTCCTCGCACGCTCGTGTCGTTTGACAATTCACGCGCAAGAAATCAAACCTCCGCATTGCAACTGCTCTCCTACTGTGAGACCACCACCACCACTCCCCCCTTTTCACCCTGCACCCAGCGATACGGTCTATAGGCACTTCGAGCTAACTCCGCGCCTGTCCCAACCTAACCTAAGCGACGACTTTACACATTCAAGATAGACAGACGCGTTCTATAATAAAACTATCCCCAGAATCCGGTAGCGTTTGTGCAATTATAAGAAAAATATAAGTAAAACTGAAAAGTGCAGGAATAAAAAAAATATGTCTTAGAAAATAAAATTCTTATATTTTAAGGATATTACTGACTAGCACGCTAAGTCACTGGCTACTTGGGGTAACTTTGATATCAGATGACCGACGACCCACCGTGTGGGTCATATGGGTGACAAAGCGTCTTAATTAAGTAATTAATTAACGTTTCGTTTTAATTAAAATTTCAAACAAAAAATAGAGATAATGATACTTCAAGAATGTAAAAATTATATAACAGATACAAGTATTATGTATACTTCTAACCTAACCTAACTTAATAAAAATTTTATATAGATGTATTTAGATTTAAATGAAAAAAGAATTCTTTAAGTAATAAACATTTATAAATTCTTATGATATTCCTTGAAACACTCTCCCAAACATAGACCTGGATTATCTTTACAGCCGCTGCAGAAGTAATTAGTATTTTTTCGCACTCCCTTAGCAAAACATTGTCTACACCTTTTTCTTTTTACTTTATTATTGTCATCTCTGGGTAATATTTCAGGTAGATGTTCGTGTTGTGATAAAGCAGAAGATATGTTTTCCACATTATTCTCAAATAACAAGGTATCGATAATATTCAGACGAAAGTCGGAAAAATTTGATTTCTTTGTAGAAGGCGAGTATTTTAAATGCAAGAAGAAGGAATTTAAGAGTAAAGTTTCCACAATGTGTATCCATATTTTGATATACCACTTAAATGTTTTTCTAAGGCAGGTGTAATAAGATAACATCTGATCCTTCTTATAATTACCATTTATAAATTCATTGTATTTATGTAATGCCAAGGGCTTTTTGTGTTTTCCTTTTCTTTTATCTTCTAACTCTATTAGATCTGCATTAAATTCGCTTGAGATAAACAAAACTTCTCTTTTGTCTTGAAATTTCCCCATCATAACATTGTTTTTGTGACGAGATATAATTTCACCTTTTGCAAGCTTTGTCTTGATGACAGTTACATTATTTCCTTTTCTTAATCTTCGTAAAGTACCTGTGCAATATGTTCTGGCATCAAGTAGCTGCTTGATTAATTCATAACTACTACAAAAATTATCCATATAAACAGAATGTCCTTTTTGAAGGAAATCTTTCAATAAGAGTAAAACCACTTTTCTTGCATGTCCTTTTCCGCTGATATCATCACTCTCTTTGTACATTCGAAGAGCTATTCCGGAACTTTCAGTTAGAATGTACAACTTGACACCAAACTTATGTCTTTTTCCAGCGATACATTGCCGAAACGTTAATCTGCCTTTCCAAGGAACTATTGTCTCGTCTACAGAAAGTTCTTTATGTGGATAATATACTTGTTTCATTTTGTTGTTAAAGTAATCAATAATCGGCTGTATCTTATTCAAACAATTGTTATTTGTGTTGTTTGAAGAGAAATGCAAACAACGTAAAATTTCTTGAAACCTGTTTCTACTCATATGTTGCGAGAAGCAGTTAAAATTAAACAGCCGCTGAGTGCTCCAATAATTTTGTAATTGAGGACACTTAATTGTACCCATATGTAATAGTAAACCAATAAATATTTTAAATTCTGCCACTGTTAACGTTTTCCACTGACCACCTCTTTTACTGTTCCCAAATTTATTTGTTTCTGTAACAATATTTGAAAAGAAATTCATATCAAATAATAGTGTGAAAAAATTATAAGGATCTGGTCCATCGGGTGAACATTCAAAACCGGCACTTCCTTCAAAAACAAATTTCTTAAAATTGCCATCGCACTTCCATTTTTCATCACTTCCGCCACCTTCAAATTCAAGTTCACTTAAATCTTCGCTCTGTGACACAACACTGGTCACACTTTCACTATATATGTCTTCAGCTGTTGTTTCATCATCTTCATTATCAGTTTCTACATAGTCCTTCCTATTTATTTCATTATCATCACTATCACTATCATATATAATTCTTCTTCTTTTGTTTCGATTACTTTCCAACTTAAGATCCTCACTTTCTTTATCACTATTTATATTTCGACACGTTGACGGTCCTGGTTGTGGATTATTCATTTTTTTAACTCGATCTTAAAACCAATGACAAATTAATTTTTCATACACTTTATTGTAAATTTTACTCCTCTAGTCTCATAAATTTCCTGAACGCTGTCTGAGAACTAACTGATGTTTGTACATGACCCACATGCTGAGTCATCAACCAAACGGGTGAGGTTAGATATGAGGCATTGTGTGACCCATATGATGAGTCATCGGTCTCGAATGTGTTAACAGCTGGTAAACGCTGCAATGTACATATTCGAAAATCGCCATACATAATTTTCTTCTCTTGCGCGAGATGTCAAAAAAAAAAAAAAGAAACTCTCTCTTTTGAGCTCACGGCGAGCTTTCGTAGGAACACACATTTTCCTTCGCGATGCGTGTTCCGTGATCGATTATTGGCGCAATTGAAAAAATCACATCGTGCATTAATTGATCGATGCGGGGCGACACTTCTTCGCTACTTTGTTCGTTCTATATATAAATGTTTATGTGTAGCACAAAATACAATACAAAAATTATGACATTGTTACGTGAGCTGCAATAAGTTATTTTTCTTTCTTGCAAATTAATTAATCGACTTGTAAAGTCGCTAGATTACAATTCAGAGTAAAATAAATAGTAGGAAGACATTTTCTGGAACGATTGAAATCTTTATCTTGAATAGATAACACACGCAATGATTCAAGTAAAAATGTATGTACAGCTGACAAGACAGTAACTTGCTTTAACATAGAAGTTATTCTGTTTTTTTTTTTTTTAATTCTATCAGCACTATCATCATTGAATATACACAGCTGTTTAGAAATAAATAAGTTCTTTCTGTGTGTAACGTTGATTCTATGAATAAAAACTATATACATGTACATATATAAACACTGAAAAATATTTATAACCAATTAATATTTGAGATTTAGATGTAATCAATAATTTAATTACGTTAAATTATTTTGATTGCATCAAGAATTTTTACAGATTGTTGTCCAAAATGCAACAATAATTACAGTACTAAGATGTATTGAGCATATAATAGGTTAGGTGAAGAAAGACTATAATTACATTAACTCTGTTTTGCAATTACATACACAAGGTTACAAACATATCTGCTTAAATCAAACGAAAATAAAAACTCGGAAACAACACTAAAAAAGTGCAAAATACTTAGAATTTTAATAAATTAAACACGCGACATAAAATGTTATAAAACAAAGAAGATGAGTCTACAGATACCTACTATTAACATCTTCATTGTGCATTTGGAAACTTAACGTATCTTGTAACTTCATCAATTTTTCAATTTTATCGTCTGGCTGTGATTTTTTTTGTAACAATAAATGCAGGAGAGGTGCACAAATTTATTACACGTGTAAAAAAACTTTCAGATGGCGATGTTATTTACAAGCGTAAAAGCCGCATAAAGATAATGATTCAAGGTAAAACACGGGTCTGAACGAGATTAATCGTGGTCAAAGCAAGGGGGAGCCCCAGGCGAGCTGCAGCAGCAGCAGCAGCAGCAAAACCAAAAAGCAACGATCAAAGTGTAAAAATTAACGAATAATCTTTAATAAGTACCGTGATAACTCCATCCTTCATGATGGACTTTCGGCTTCGTATGATCATGCCGACGACTTTCTTCGAGACTTTGGCGGGCATATTCACGCACTGCGCGCACAAACTCTTTCGCTTCTTCAATTTCATGAATTCCTACGTTCTCGTCAACACGGTAGAAGTCATTTTCCCGCGACCAGCTGTCTTCTCTTTATGTCCTACAACCTTATCACCTTGATTGTGCCACACTCAGCTCCGAATCCGTACTCTCATCGCCTGGACACTGTTTTTATTCTACATAATAACAGCAGCACGATCAAAACGAACGAACGTATCCGCGTGTACGCGGACCAACACAGACTATCGCGGAATCAACCATGAGTTATCCCGAGAGGCGATCAACTCGTATCGCGTATAGCGTAATTAATTCGACAGGTGGATTTTCATGTGCGTGACGCAATAATCCGCGGACTGTCAACTATCACGAACGATGCGCCTCCCGAGTATGCACGAAACATCGGAGGCATCCTCGGCGATCGCTTCCCGGGATACGCTGATTGGATGTCAATTTCGGGGAAGTCGCCACAATTACCGTGTATTGCGAGAGACGCAACAAAAGCGCCGAGCAAATTCACTAGAACATCTGCGATCTTCAAATGTCAAAATCTAGTGATTCGACCCAACCAACTTGCAACGACGACGGACCAATCATTTCTCGCGGTGCGACCATAAACACCCAAAACCTAGACGGCGATTGGCCGTTCCGCGCGAGAGGATTCTCAGTTCCTTGATGGCGCCACGTATTTCACGAAGCAGAGCGGCACAAGAGCGCGGAAAGGTACTGCACAAATTTGCTATGAATTTTGGGGAAATTTATGGCTCAACTTGTGGCGAGCCCGTGCGCGCATGTCCGTTCCCCGTGTTCCTAGTCGCGTCTCGTATATTCACCGACTTCCACTCTTCCGTTCGAGCAGAGAGTCTTACTTGTCTCTGCCTCATGTGTGTGTGAGTGTGACATTTTTTTCCACAGACTGTTTCGTCCAACTGCAACATGTTTACCTGGCTGGGTCGCCGCCACCACCGTTACCAGTATCTCGCCGTTGATACCGCTAGGATATTCGTGTCATCTTGTCAGCCGCATTAATTCACAGGTAATGCTCGGCGCCGCGGCTCCGCTCTCCCCGCCAACGGCAAGCGGCGGCGCGCCCTGAGTTCTGTTTACGTAGCAATGGCGAACGCTCTCCTCGTCGCCGCCGTCGTCGTCGCCGTTGGCGCCGCGACGCTGCCGTCGCGACGCCCTTATTCTCTCCCCTTATTTTTGCCGTCCCGAGGGAAGGAACGTACCTTCCGGCCACTTCGCACGGAGAGGGGGGATTATTTTAGAATTTAACGTCGTGTCTTATATCAAATTTTTTTCGCAAGTATAGACACAACCGTTAAATAGTCACGTATTTTTCTTGCATTTTTCGAGAGATTTTTGAGAATTTAAGAGAAATAACAGTTTTCCATCGGTTTTCTCCAGATTCTGTTTTTCTTTATTGATATTTCAGTGAGATATTCTGCAGGAATTGATCATGGAGATTTAGTTTTGTGAGTGTGTTTTAACACACGGTACTGAATTTAATATTGTGCTTTGTACAGTGTGTTTTTGGCTCTAATGAAAATCAGAATCAGGCTACAGCTGAAAACAAGATGCTGTGTAGTGAACTCTGTGTGTGTGTGTGTGTGATAAGCTGCTTGCTTTCACGAGACTAGAACCTTCTGTTACCAAGCATGTACACACGTATATAAAGTTATATACACGCATATTTTTTCAATATGCTAATTTAGATTTGCGGAGCAAAACAGAAAAAAAGCAGGAGAGAGCGTGAGAGAGAAAGAGAGAGAGAGAGAGAGAGGTGCCATGGATGATGAAGAGCGTCTTGAGGGTGAAGAAGAGATGGAGTTGGATGAGGCTTCTGATGGCGAGGATGAAGATGAGGAAACTACTGGGATTTCTGTATCTCCTGCCAATTCAGATCAGTTAATGGGACAGACTACTCCAACTACTCCTGGTAATAGTTTGTCACTATATTTTGAAATATTGTTTGTCTTGTTTTTGTTTTCAATATTTTAGGAAAAGATTTAAGAACTGTTTGCAGTTTGTAAATCTAATATTTATTTTAAACAATCTTGAAATAAAATAATTAAATATTGTGTGTGTAAACTCAAAATAATTAAAAATATTATATGAGATATTTAACACAAATTTTAGTGCTTTTGGCTCAAGAATAGAAAGCTAGTGAAAATGTTTAATTATATTTTATAAAACAGATGTTTATGAATTTTTTTATGTTTATAATTTTTTTCTGTATCTAGTTTTATACCTATATACTGTACTTATAGTCACACCAGATGAAGTTTTTCATGATCCATTGCGATACCAAAAGTTTCCACTGCCTGGTGGCAAGCCTTTGAATATTCGTAGAGGGCCTGGTAGACCACGTAAAGAAAGGCCTCTTGGTATACCTCGTGGAAGTGGTACTAGGAGGCCATTTGGAAGAGGTGGCGCTAGAGGCAAAGGGTTTGTTTAATTGATATAATTATCAATCATGACTTACAATTACTTTATTTCGGTGGATAGCACATGTTTTGAAAACAGTTTTGATGTCATTACATATACATATATATTACTATTTATATATTACTATGTATACTATTATATGTCTAGGCTTGGATATGCGAGAGGTATACCACGTCGTACCAAGAGTAAGGATGACGACACACACTCGGAGTCGCCAAGTCCTTTACGTACTATCGGAGACGACGCCGCTCCTGACGGCGGTGGCGGCGAATCGTCATCGGGAAACACAGGCGACAAATCAATGCTGGCGCCTGAAGAACCACCATACTTTCCTGAACAATGGTAAAAATATCTGTTGCACTTGATATTTAAAAATGGATTGAACAATTCTTAATTCTAAATATTTATATAGGCCGGGCAAAGTATGCGCGTTATGCAATTTAGGTGAGAGAAGTCAATTGGGACAGGGCGAACTTTTGCGCCTGTCGTGTCCAACAGGTTTTATTCCAGAAAAATCGATGAATCGCGAGGAGACCGACCATTTCGTCGATAGCGCTGCTACTGGAGATAAAAGCCCGCGTGCAGCCGTACCTGGAGCCGCCGTTACGTGTCGTAGGCAAAAAAGTTTAGCCAAATGCAGGTGAAAATTTAAATGATAACTATATTAATATATCATGGTACGTTAGAAAAGTAGAAATAGAGATATATATTTTATATAAAGTTTTCATATTACATTAATATAATTTTTTTTTTTAATATGTATCTCTCTCTCTAGGAATACTAGTCTAACAAATTTTACGGAGCCAGTGGAGGAGCTGACAATCGTAGGCTATTCGGAGGAACCGGAAGTCAGTATTCTGTTCGAGTCGACGACCGGCTATTTTTATGTCCATCAGTCATGCATTATCTGGTCTAGCAACAGTCAAGATTTAGCACCGGAAGTAACAAGTCGTGCTGTTCTTCAGGCTTCCTCCAGACGTTGCGCCTCTTGCTCACATTATGGAGCCGGAATTCCTTGCAAAGTAAATTTTATACATGCAATCAATATTACAAGTCACTAATATGAAGTTGAGAATGATTTTACATAATTAATTGCAATCCACAGGTGACATCGTGCAATCGTTATTTTCATTTTCCGTGTGCCGCAGCTAAGAGTTGCTTCCAAGACATCAAGAGCTTATCTCTATTTTGTGATCTACATCTCGGTCAAGTCCCGCTTTTGCGTAAGTTTTTTACATTTTGAACTTTTATTCTTAGACTTTTTATTAATTTTTTTTTAGTTAACAAGTATATTTTTTTACATACGCTAATGTTAAAGCAAACTTTTGCATTTGCAGTGAATGGGGAGGTAACTTGTGTGCAATGTTATGGAATGGGAGATGTGTCAAATCTAGTGATGTGTTCTGTGTGCGGCCAACATTATCACGGCAGTTGCGTAGGACTAAAGTTGCAGCCTGGAGTACGCGCTGGATGGCAATGTGTGTCTTGTCGTGTATGTCAAGTTTGTCGACAACCCGAAGACGTTTCTAAGGTATTGAAATTCTTACAAATTTAATTTCTCAAAAACGTGTTTTGATATATAAGCGTTATTGAATTTTATCTAGTTTTTAATTTTATCATTGAGGTTGTTTTTTAACTTACAATTTTTATAAACTAATTAATTTTCTGCGTGCAATAGGTGATGTTGTGTGAACGATGCGAAAAGGCATATCATCCTAGCTGCTTGCGACCAATTGTTACTTCTATCCCGAAATACGGATGGAAGTGCAAGTGTTGCCGCATATGCACCGATTGCGGCTCACGTACTCCCGGAGCTGGTTTGTCCTCCAGATGGCACTCTCATTATACAGTATGCGATTCGTGTTACCAACAGCGCAATAAAGGCTTTTCATGTCCTCTCTGCCGAAAAGCTTACAGGTAAATAGAACATTCATTATATCATATAGATATCGTTTATTCTCTTTTATTTATTTGTTTGTTATTTACATACAAAGATGTTTTTTCGGGTTTGAACCGCGTTAGTGTCATTTTAATACCGACGTTTCGTGAACATTACAGCTCACTTCATCAGGGTTTGAAGAGCAGCCTGATACTGAGTATCAAACATCTTTGTATGTTAATACTACACACCGCGAAAGCATCAAATATCAAATTGTTTGTTATTTGTTACTTGCAGAGCTGCAGCGTATCGTGAGATGGTGCAGTGCCATTCGTGCAAGAAATTCGTACACGGCAGTTGCGATCCCGAGGCCGATCCCCGTAAGTATCAGCAACGCAAGGAGGCGAAACCTGATTACGAATACGTCTGTCAACATTGTAAGGACATGGCTATGGCTAGACGAAAGGACAGCATTGATGACGGGGACTTGAGTCTAAGCGCTTCTCAGGAGAGTCTTGATGGCGATTCCTTTGAGATGGATTTTCAGGGTAGTTCCGAGGAAGCCCTCTATTCAGTTGGGTTAGGCAAGGGAAAACCGTTTTGCGTTACTAAGATTGCAAAAAAGAGATTAGGAATCAGTGGCGGTGTTATTGGTAGGCCAAAAGGTGTCGGGAAGCTAGGCTATCAGAAAAGGCAGAAAATGACTGAGTTTGGAAGGAAGAGAGGACCTAAGGCAAAAATTAGAGGAGTTTTTGGAGCGCCTGGAGTGGGTTTGCAAGTATGTATGTGTATGTGTAACCAGTAAACAAATTTATATTTACAATTAATAAAAGGTTAGGAACACTGTTTTGCCACAAAATTAAATAACAATTATAATATCAAATTATGTCAAACTTTAAGTTAATGCGGTTATTAATTACTTTATAAGTCCTTATGTTCTTTTGCTTAAGCACATGAGTAATTTATTAAATGACAATAATCATAATTATTTGTTTACTCAATACAAGAACAACATCTAACACTATCATAGTTTATATTTATAATGTTTGTATTAAAGTTGATAGAATTTTTGTGTTTTTATTGTAAAGCGAAAAAATATTTAAATGACTAATAAAATAATATTAATTTTTATATTATAGCGTCCAATGCCGGACTCTCAGTCGAAGGAAGAGGAGTCTGGAGTAGATAACAGATTAGTTCTCTGCTCTGCTAAGGATAAATTTGTTCTAACTCAGGATATTTGCGTCATGTGCGGTGCAATCGGCACCGATCAAGAAGGTTGCCTGATCGCGTGCGCACAATGTGGCCAATGTTACCACACGTACTGTGCGGCCCATCCTAATTCTTCGGAATTAAAGTTAAACAAAGTCATCCTGCAGAGAGGCTGGCGATGCTTGGACTGTTCTATTTGCGAAGGTATTGAACAAATTACTATGAGAAAATGACTATAAATTACATAAAAAAATTAAAATAATACACTAATAAAAATATATAAATATGAATTGTTTTTTATTCAAGGATGTGGTGAAAAACACGATGAAGGTCGCTTGATTCTCTGCGACGAATGCGACATCAGCTATCACATCTATTGCATGGATCCGCCTTTGGACAATGTGCCACATGGTCCGTGGAAGTGCAAGTGGTGCACACAATGTCAAACTTGTGGTTCTAGCAATCCTGGATTTAACTCAACTTGGCAGAAAAACTACACTCAGTGCGGGCCTTGCGCCTCTCATACTACTTGCATCGCCTGCCAGGAATCGTATCAGGAAGGTGATCTCATAATTCAGTGTATACAGTGCGAAAGATGGCTTCACTGCATTTGTGATACCATAAAAAACGAGGCCGAGGCCGAACGCTGTGCGGAAGAAGGTTATGTTTGTCTTCTATGTCGTCCTCGAGATGTGCCTCCTCCTCATCTTCTCACAAAACCTTCTACAAAATTCGCCAGATTATCTCCTCCGCCTCAAAACCGAAGTCCGGAAATATATAAATCTTCACAACATTATTTAGTTGAGGGAACTTATCTTTCCGAAGCTGGAATGAATTATATCAAAGCTGTAACACCGGAGCATCAACAAACGCGGAAAAAACGGAGAAAACTGCTTCCAATGGTAGATAAAGAAGCAGATATTATGGCGACTATTGAATCTGTTGTTGCCGGAGGAAGCTTGGATAATTCTTTGGAGGAAGGTAACAAGATGGAAATAGATGTTAAAGAGGAATCGGAAATGGTGCTGAAAGAGGGCATGGTGTGGCATCAAGCTCCTCCCGAAGGTTTCAGCATCTGTACTTCAGAGAGTGGGCTTCCTGTTTTGCGAAAGAAACGTCAAAGGAACCTGCAAAAACTAGGAATCGGAGGATTTTCAGTAAGACTGAGAGGAACCAGAAAGGAAAAAGAAGAAGAAGGAGGGGATACCGAAAAGCTTGGAGAATCTTCAGTTATGGGACCGGGAGACGATAAACCCCGAAGAAAACCTCAAAGAAGGAAGCCAAAGCCCAAATTGTCAGAATGCTATCCTCTTTACATGCAGGAAGCGTTTTTTGGTAAAGATTTATTAATGATGGACACGAAAGAGAAAGATCTTAGCAGTAGCGAATCTGAAGTAGAAAAAAAGATTCCTGAAAATGCTAATACGATTCAATTGTCTCAAGACGAATTGAAGGCGATGGAACAAGTTAAAGCAAAACAGGAAAAGGAAGACGAGAAAATTGTTCCTGAGCAAATCAAGAGGGAGGAAGTTGTGGAAGATGACGGAAGTGATACCGAAGCTCTTGGAGATATTTTACCGATTTCCGGAGACTTGTTGGATAGTGATTTAGTTAATACAATAATGAATGAAAATGATGACGATCTTGCTAAAGCTAGCGAAGCATTTGACGAATTAGACGATGCTCAGAGTGGAAGTAAGGATGAACTAACGGATATTCTTAGTCCGCATTTTAATTTAATGGAGTCAATGGTCAGAGATACCGGTAAGTTTTTAAGTGAATGTTAGTACAGTAGTGCCTCGCTAACTTTCCGCTTCTTGATTCCGTGAGCGAAAAGATGTCGAGGAAAGTATTGTTTCGAGAATTGCCGGCTGTTATCTCTAATTGGCTCGTCCACGGACTTGACCGCCGCAGAGTCATCCCGACTAATTCACGCAAAGCCTTGGCGAAGCGCTTCTAGAAATTGGTGGGGATGACTTCCGGCAAGATATCGAGAGAAAAATTCGGCACGTTAATAAGACACTACTGTATGTAATGTGCTTTTAATGAGATTATCAATTTGGATTGTGTGAAGGAAAGTGCAGTTCTTTCTGTGTTCGCCGGTTTACTCTAACCAATAGGAACTGTCTTTCTCTCACGCGATTCTCATCAATCTTTGTTACAATACTATGTGAATAGGAAGATTTTATACATAAGATAAATTGTTCCCTTCTTGTCTATTATCTTACTCTTATCTATTATCTCTTCTATTATCTCTTTTTAGGCTTACCAAATATGGATAGTAAAGATATAGAGGAAATATTTAAGGGTGTTCTGACCGATGAATCACAGGAATCTCAAGAATCATCAGTGTTTTCTTTACAAGCTCAGACTTCGCATCCGTCGTCATCTACTACTCCTTTAGTATCGCCTTCTCCTCATCCTGGTAAATTCGCATGCTAAATATACATTAATATTGTAAACCTTACATAGTTTTTCAAGACTATTTTTATTTTATTGAATTGTTCTATGTAAATCTTTTGTAGGTATACAACCAGCGATACCTTTGGCAAGACCTCAAGTACCTGGCGCTTTACCCTCGGTTGGTCAGTCAAACTTAAACTCGCCTATGAGTTTTCCACCACCTTCGCCGTATCACTCTGAATACAGCAAGTAAGAAAAATACAGATTACAAGATCTAATACATACAAATAAACAATATAAATGTTCTATATTTAGTCCCTCTGAGAGCTGTGTAATCGTAATTTTAATTTTGCAGTAGTCCACAGTTTAGCCCGGCATTTTCGGAACCACCCAGTCCATGGGTGAACCCCGAGGACGAGGGAACCATTCCAGCGGGCAATGTTACCATTTCGAGCAATCAAAAAAACACTCAGAGAATGGAAAATGACGAGCCATTAGGCAGTGGAGCGACAATGGCTTCAGTACTTTATGCTAATATAAATCATCCCGAATGGAAAACTGAATACCCAGGTATATTTTATTACGTCATAAAGTACATATATATATATATATATTTAGATCAAGTATAACTTTTGTTTGTTTTCAACTTTCTTTGGCGGCTTGAGATTAAAGTTTGTTAATTTAGAGAATAATATTATAATTAACCAAGTATTTTTTTACCTCATGCAGTGTGGTCTGAAAGATACAAGCAAATATCGAAGAAGTGGCGAACGCTTCCAAATGACCAGAAAACTATGTACGTAACCCGAGCTCGGGACAATCGAGCCGCTCTTCGCAAGAAAACACAACAGGTAAGTCAATACTAAATGTCTATCGTAAAATAAAGAAACAAGAAAAATACGAACTTCAACTATTGCGCGCTTGTTTCCATTATTAATTAAGTTTTCTGGCCAAAGAATTTATGGCTAAAAAGCGCAATAATTCAATGGGATAACTCGCATTTCTGGACGTTCTTGGGTTTTTTTTGTCCACGAGCGTGTCTTGTGCTAACACTTAAGTGAAACTAACAGCTCGATATAGTTCTGTGTGTCGCAAATTATGTTCCTATTACGAGAGAAGATTTAGGATTTCCTCTTATATAGAATTATTAAAAATTTTGTAACTGAGAGGAAATACAATTTTTATTTTACGCGTACGCACATGAAGATTAAATAATCGAGTCTTTATGATGCAAAATATTGTACAATTAAGTGTGTAAATTAGTGAGAAAGTTTCTTATTTTTTTATATCGAGTTTTTTTTAAATTTATTTAAGTCTAATAAAACGATTCCCACTCACGCTTAAAAATAGAGTGAATGGGCCTATATAGTGGGTCCAAATGAGGTGAAGAGGGGCGATGTGTACACGGACGTTTCATATCTTTTATGTAAATTAAGGATTAATACAAGGGGATAGAAATATTTATAACATTATTCGTAAACATATAAATATATACATGCTGTAAATTAAAAAAATACAATTATATACAAGTTCGTTAATAAATCTATACGTACGCTCGGATTTACAACTTCGTCAAACTACGAATTTATATAAATTTGTTGTAGATTTGTATTTTTAGATTCATAAGTGTAGATGAATGAATCCTTTGTTATTCTGTTAACCTGTATATTATATCCAGTATAACACACCGTTTAGGTATATATTCAGCAAGAACTCCCACATATTTTACGAGTCTGTAGATATCTATATAAATCCACACGGAAGACCCATATATCCTGCTTGTATGTGTCTTTTATGTGTTCCATATAAATATAAAACTGATAGTCTTATATGTACTAACGATTCGAACCTCGTATCGAACGCGGTTTATTCTTATGTCGCCTCGTTCGGGCCCATTATATCGTTTCTTACATGCAAGATGGTTTTCACGTAAAGCTTCCTTTTTTATCCAGAATATTGTGTCCAAAAAAGTATTAGATACATGAGATAATGAAAATAGCAGATAATTAATATAGTAAGACATGATAAGGAAGAAAAAACCTTATTATAAAAGGTTTTTACGTGAAGCGTCTTCATGTGTATATCGCGTCTTCATGTTGTATGATCGCGAATCGCTCGGTTTTGACCAGTTCTCCAAGGATTCACCACTGCCATGCTCAAGCACAAACAACATTACTACCATTACCAACATAACCACTACCAACACTACCATCAATATGACTACCATTACCACTTCTACTGCCATGACCACCATCATCACCAAGCCTGCTGCAATGACGACTCAACAGCAGCAACAGCAACAACAGCAACAGCAAGTATTGGGTCTGAAACCTGTGGAGAAGCAGCCAGGAATGTTGATGGCTACGGGAATGACGTCGAACAGCAATAGTCAACATCAGGAGGTCTGTGGGGTGCAGGGAACCCCGCTCAGCCCTTCCCTTTCTCCCGAAGCTCCTAAAATTCTTCAGTCGATCGCCTTGCAATCCTGCACAACACCAGCTTCTTCCTCCTCTTTGTCTTCTTCTTCGTCTTCTTCTCTTTCTTCTTCCTCTTCTTTGTCTTCATCTTCACTGTCTTCTTCATCAACGTCATCATCATCATCGTCATCTTCTTCTTCTGCTTCTTCCATTTCCTCCTCTTCCTCTTCTTCTCACTACAACAATTCGGGTGAAGGGCAGCAATCTCTCCAGCAACGTCCACCCCCAATTGTCGTTAACAGCGGCGGCGGGAACGGTGGCGTAGATCAGCATCAGATTCGAGTGCTCACTCCGTCCGAGATCATGCGCACCCTCCCGTCCCTCAGCCAGGAGCACTACGACCCCCCACCTCCGCCACCACCACCCACTGCAATTGTTCACAATGTGCCTCCTGTACAGAACTATCACCACCACCACCACAACCCGAGTAACGCCATGGTGAGAGCCTTGTAGTGTCTTCTTGCCTTTCTTTCTGTGTCTGATCGCGAGTCTTAATGTATCCTATATATGTATATGTATATTATTTGAAATATCAAGCAAAAATTGTACTTTTTTAAAGCATCTAAGAGAAGATTTTTATATTCTCTAATTACATGTTTACACTTTACAAGACTGCAAATGATACATTCGTATTATTTTGTATTATTACTGTTATAGTTAGCATATGAGAAGTCAACACATTTATGAACATATTACGTTCAATTATTTAAGTAATTTGGGTAATGGTTTTATTTGAAATGATCAGACATATATATATCTTTTTTACCATTTTACTATTATGATATTTTATTTAGACGAAATATTTTCTATTGAAACGTTTACGTTTTTTAGTAGGATTATACACACATGAGTACACACAAAAACACAGTCTATGTTTTTAGATATTTAATCATTGTGACAGAAAGTATTATTGTGGTAAATAGTATATTATTTTCTTTTAAGCATTTTCCTTGATGACATATTCAATGGTAGTGTACTTTTTGTATTGGTTCCTATCATCTTTTATCCTTTTCGATCCTGAATCATAAATCATCATCATCTATTATTCCTTGAATCTACCGATATCGCTTTCGATCATTTTTATTTCTTATTGTGGGTGATTGTGGTAGATCTATTGTATATACGTTTTACAGCATATAGTATTGTATAATGGTTATGCAGTAGCTTAGTACTAATGTTATTATTTTACAATCTTTTTCAACTCCTCCTAAAATTATCACAAGCATATTTAAAATTATCTCATTATATTGCAATACACTTTTGAAAAAAATAACAAAAATATTGTATTATATATAATACAATATTTTTTTTATTTATCTCAAAAAAGCTAAACATATTGAAGAATATAGCAAAAATAAATTTATTTAAAAAAGAAAGATAAAAAAGATATATAAAATAACAAACAGACATATTTATATTCTATTTTTTTCTGCAAAAAAATGTCAGATATCTTCTATCTTTTTATATTCAGTGTAGATTATATATAATACTTGTTAACATATTTATTATATTTACATGTTATATTTTGTTATGTAGGTGTTAAGAATTTAGTGATAAGAATTTTGGATTTTGACATGCATGGGTGTTGCATTAATTTTAAACGAGACGTGATGTTGTATGTTTCTTGCTATGAATGAAATCTATTTATGCATAATTACACGTACACATACACAAACACATATACGTACTAATATAAGCTAATCTCTTTACATTAATAGATGGTGGCTGGTTATAGTTATTTCCAATGTGGTTGCATATATACTCGAGGATTTCCCTCTAATCATTTATCAATAATTTAGCAGCGTGCTGTAGTTATTTTTAAGAATGTTCATGCAAAATATGTGATATCGGTATACAAAAAAGTTACTTAAAAGGTTTACTTTAAAAAGATTTTATATTTAAGATTTTATATCGTTTATGGTTTTTTTAATACACACAATAACACTTTTGTGAAATTGCAAGATTATTCTTTAATTTGTAGACATTTTTCTCTAGCATTCTTTTAAATTTTTGGCCGATATTATGTATGATCTCTTTTATGAACATTTCTTATTGGCTGATTATGCTTCATGTGTTTAATGATGCTTTATAAAAAAAATTCAAAGTTATTACATTTCAACTGTAAATATAGTGAGAACATTTTATATTCTGCATATAAAAGTTTGTTAACACTTAACAAAAGTTGTGTGTGTACGTATCTATAAAGTTCATACTCTTATACATTTTGATATAATCAAGATACAGATTACGTAGATTGAATAAGAATAATAAAATTAACAATTTAATAGAAAATTGTATTTAAACATACTCTTTGTTGGATTGATTTACGAATATTTCAAACACACACAATAATAAATGTTACTAAAATAAACATTAACTGCAGTAAAAAAACTTTATTTGTCAAATGTAATAACTTTAGTGAGTAAAATATTTTGAAAATTATATATATAGAAATTTTTTTTTGATAGGAACAAGACCGACTATCGAATAGAGATCGATCCAGCAGGGAGGCTGAGCAGGAGAGACAATGGAAACAGTTGCAAGCTTTACGACAGCAGCAAGCTCAACTCCAACAACAAGTCATACACGAGCAACGCGTGCATGGTATACTACTTATGTGTTAAATATAATGTTTTTGGTATAGAAGTTTCTACAATAATTTAGATATATCTAATATTTAACACTTAAATCTTTTATTAATAGCGATGGCGAGAGTACACAGACAAATCAGCGAAGAAGGTACACCTCAATTGAACACTGATACCACTATCGGATTAACGACGCAATTACAAGTTTCCACGGCACAAGTAAATAATTCTGTCAATCTTATTTTACAAAATATACTTAAGTATCTTTTTCAGCACACTTTATTAAATATATAATTGATACATTATTACAGGACACAAATCAACTGACACCTCTAGCATCTCCTTCTCCAGGCTCTCGCACCACCTTTGCTACGCCACCGCTTAAAGCTCCACGCGGTCTTACTCCTCAGTCCCCTCATCATCAAACTATAGTACGTCTCCCCGCACCAGCTCCCTGTCGGACAGTACGCCCGGGTTTTCCACAGCCACCGTCTCCATTTTCGCCGCAGGCGCCGCAATCACCTCATGATTTTCCTCAGTCTCCCGCGTCTACTCAAACCTCCCAAGAGTCTCATTTTCAGCGTTTTGAAGGCAATGTTTCAACTCCCGCGTCTCCGTACTCGTCACCTCAGGCGTCAGGTACACCTCGCGCACCCGTGTTTAATCCTCCACGGCCTCCCGTTTATGCTCCCCCTCCTCTCGCTCCACCTGCAACATCGCGAACTCCTGATCCTTACAGCCAGCCACCTGCTACTCCCACGTCAGCCTCCGCTGCGCCTGGTTACCCATCACCCCGAAGTTCGGAGACTCCTCGAACACCTCAGGAGCAAGAAGTGACTTTCGGACAACAACCGGAAGTCAATAAACAATTGAGAGATTTACTGCAGAGGCAACAGTTCACTAAGAAAATTGAAGGAGGAAATTGGATTCAAGGTTTTACTTTTATAGTATCAAATATAACTATATTATATTTTAATGGTATACAATTTTTATATGTAATATAATATTTTTAAATATATATATATGTAATATTAATATTGATATTATTATTTTATTATTTGTTTAGACGGACAGAATAATTCAGAGAACAACCAACAACAATTCGAAGCGAGTCATGTGCAACTTCAGCAACATCCTCAAGTACCAAGTAACAACGGCGAAGGTACCTTTAGACATCCGCTTCCACCAGGCATTGTCAGAACTAGAATGCCTATTCAACCAAACGTCTTGATTAGAAATCCTATCGGTATGCATGTATATGATTTTATTTATTACTTTGTGCTATGTATTCAATTCTTAATTTTCTATTTATATAACATGAAGATATTTTCCTCATAAGGTGTTAATTTATTATTAAATATTGATGTTTCCACAAAAAGTTTGAGATTTTTATGAGATTTCTCTGTGTGTGACATATGAATCCAGGAGTAAATTCACGACATCCTGTAGCAGGAAATATTCAGGGTTCGACAGATCATCGCACTAGAATGCTACTACAGAATAGGCCGCAAATAGCTGCAAATATACAGCATCAATATGCTGTAACAGGAACTCAGAGTCTGCAAACACGGATGCCAGCAGCAAGAAATACTATTTCCGAGCCTTATGATATTTTGCAGCAACAGAGATTTACAGGTAATCTCGAAAGATTATACTTATGTAAAAATACTATTCGAATTTTTTAACAAATTGAAAAAATATATACATATATGATACAATGAAGAATTATATAATAATAATAATATATATACGTACTTTATTTACGTACTTTATTTTTATTTACTTCTTATTTTAATATTACTATTTATTTTAATATTTTTGTTTTATTAAGTTATAAAAGAAGTCTTTTTTAACCAAATAAATTCTTTTAGATGCAAATCAGACGCAAAACCTGAACCAGCGTGTTGCTCGGACGGCACAAGATAATCTAAACCAAAGTATTCGCATGTTGAGCACTGCCCCGGGAATAGTTCGAACACCTCTTATACCTACTACGATAAGTGAGACTACAGCAGTGACTACTTCAGAAGCGTCTGAGATACCCGATAACGTGACAGCCGAATTGGAAAAGTTAGAGCAAGAAGGAGCGGGACCGATGGTTGAGGTGGAAGGTGTCAGTGCAATATTAGGAGATTTAGCAGATGATGATGACGAATTACTTGGTGAGTTATTACAGAATGCAGATAATATTTACAGCAACTTAATTAGAATATTTGTAAATTTTAGTTAAGTAAAAAAATATACAAATCTAAAAAAATTTTGTTTTTTGAAGCCGAAATGGGAGCGGATTTCAACATTCTGGCATATGCCGATCCCGAATTAGCTATTGTGGGTGGAGATAAGACCAACATTCTTGATCTGGATCTCGAGCAAGTTGAGGTCGATCCGAAAGACGAAAAGCAAAAGAAAGAAACCAAGGATGAAGATCAGAAACCGGAATTGACCGATCCGTCACCTGAAATTGCCGATCCCAATCCGGTAGCCACAAGTCTGACATTGACGGAAAATTCTAATGTGCCGACGATGACATCACCGCAGGCAACGTCACAAACGATTCAGGCGCAAGTGGTGCAGCAGCAAATACATCAGCACATGCAACAACAAGCGGCTTTGGGACGTCCGATGCCGCCTGGAACAAGATTAGTGGCAGGTGATGGAGTTGTAGGAGTAGTGACTTCTACAAATACAGTGACTGTAAGCTATCCGTCCAGCTTTCCCGGACATCCGCAGAGAATAGCACAAACCCATATACAAGGTGATATATAATATATATGAAATATAGATGCTATACGTAAAAAAATTTATACATTTTACAGGAATTTATTAATATTAAAAATTCAGTCTACGTTTCCTTTAAACAATAGTATTTAATATCTATAAATATTTTATCGTAGTTACACAGCAACAACAACAGCAGCAACAACAACAACAACAACAACAACAACAACAACAACAACAACAACGACTAGGTATGCGAATGCCAAATGTGGCGGGAGTACCAAATGTACCAAGCAGAGTGGTCGCTGTAAATCACATGATCAGCACTCGGATGCCGCTGGCTCCTCCACCACCGCCACCGCCACCTCCATATCCGGGACCGCCACCTCCCTATCCAGGACCGATGCAAGTAAGTGTCAATCTTTACATTGTTTACACTCTGAAAGATTGTTATGCATTGCTTTGAAATATTTGATATTTTTGTATAAGTGAGGAATTAGAGAAAGAGATTGAAAATGAGACAAGCAGTATATTAGCAAATCTGAATCTATTGGTAATTTTGAACAGTTTAACGATTTTATATTTATTTTTATACAATTAATTTTGTTATAGAACGATTTACATGAAAATGTATAAAATATATAATGTAAAAAATTGTATATTTTCTTTTTGTATACATATCTTTTAGAAGGATGTTTCTTGAAAAAATTAATCAACATTCGTAAACATAATATGCATTAAGAGAGAAAGAGATAATTTTGATAGTAATACTAACATTAATAACACAAATCTTGTTAATAATTTATATTTAATTACGTAATACCATTTGCAAGCGTTTCTCTTATTATGTTTAATTAATAATATTTAATTCAGGATTTTGCATGTACATAATATTTGTGTCAGTTTTGTCGCAAATTTGCTGAATTTATTTCAAAAATACGTTGCGCAGCTGCAGTTTCAAATATATATATATATATACATATATGTGAAGTAATTTTGTAGTTTGCTAGAGGCTGCCTTTTTAAAATTATAGATGTTCTTGTGCAAATTATGCTAAGAAATATTTTTATACAATATATTTCTTAAATTACTTGTAGTTAAAAAATAATAGTTCTATATATTTACATCTCATATAAAGTAGCAATATATATAATTATTTTAATTCGAAGAAACTCTCTCTAAGAGATAAACATTATTTTAATACTCATACTTTTGCTGATATATTTATACACGTGTATTGTATATACAGGAGAGAGGATATTTATTATTTAGATATTCTATAATATAGCTAGAATATATAATCAATATTTTAAGGAAAAACGAAGATGTTGAAATTGGCTGTGATGTAGGCGTGTAGTTATATAATGAGCCTAATACTTTCAGCACCAAAAAGAATGTTTTCTAAAAAGAAATATTATAAATAATCGCTTTTATATATTTCTTTGATCACATAAAATAAAATAATAATTGTATCTAATATATTGATAGCATTATATATATATACTTATATACACATAAAATAATACCGAGATTTATTAATATATCTTTTGAGAAAATATTAACACACGTTGTGCTGAAAGGATTGTGGTAAAAATTTTGGCTGGTGTTTTTTGGCCTGGGTGTGCAAGTTTGCAATATGCATTTGGTGTTGGTGCATGTGTCTAGATGGGGCTGTGCCTAGGTGGTGGTGGGCGAGGTATGACGCGGCCCCCAGTCCATATGACGGGGCACCAGATACCGGTGGCGGGCCCGCCGATGGGCCCTTTGGTGCCACATTCTCACCGAAGACCTTTGCTTCTGCAGGTGAGCCAGATTCGGGGCATTTCCAGCATTAGCACATATCGAACGAGTTTAAAAAGTATTAAACAACTCTTATTTTTAAATCCTCAGTTTCACGGAAAATGACACTTTTTCTGTGCACTAGGATGAAAAATCCTATAATATTTGCAGTAGGATATTTTTCTATTGATGAAGAATCAATTGATAGAGAGAGAGAGAGAGAGAGAAAGAGATATGTTTTAAAAGAGTTATATAAGTTTTATACTTGAGAAGAAACATTTTTAATCTTCTTAAATTATGTTTATATAATGATGTTTATATGAAACTTGTTATATGTTGTACTAAAAAGAAAATATATAAAAAGCACTTAAATCTGTAATTTTATAAATTTAAATCAAGAAACATTCAAGAATACTTGCAAACACTTTTTTTCTACATTTACTAATATGAATTTTAATGCACTTTTAAATGTTTGCATGCTTATTAATTGCACAAATATTAATTTTACTAATTTTAAAGTTGTTTTTTTAAAATAAAATTTTGCTTAATTAATTTTTTCTTTAAAATATTTATTTTACAATAATGTTATCCAGAACGTTGCTATTTTATAATTATATAAAGCACGAATGTGTTGAAATTGTTGAGCATGTGTGTGTGTGTGTGTGTGTGTGTGTGCGCGCGCGCGTGTGTGTATTAAATGCGTAGGAGAAATCCCTAAATAATATCTATATGCAAAATCCACTTTGACTGTCAGCAGTCGTGTTCACAGGAGCAGCCGTTGTTGCTAGAAGAATTACTGGAACAAGAGAAACGCGAACAAGAGAAACAACAGCAGCAACAGCAACAACAACAGCAGCAGCAGCAAACTGAGAATACTGCTGCAGGAGGAAGTCTTCTGAGTGACAGTGACTTTGAAAGACTTAGAGCTGATGTTTTGGGCACAACATCACCTCCACAAGGTATGGCACCTGTGATCAGACCACCGTGTACGGCTAGACCACCTTCAGCACCCGGTACCAGCTGGCAGCAAAGCAGCGTTGCTGCTAATGGAACACCAAAATTAGCAACAGCTCAAGTGGGAGCGAGACAGCCAATTGCCACGCAGACACCACCCGAACGTTAGTATTTGTTTTTATTAAAACTTACTTTTTTTACATTTATTCTTAAATAAACTGCAACAGTTTTTAATGTTTCTATTTTAAATAATTATATTAATAAATAATTATTTATTAATTCAGCGAGAGTGACTACATTTACCATTCCCCAAATACCGGCACCACCAACTCCGCCAGAAAATATAGTTACCGAACAAGATCGACAAATTCAACTGCAATATGAACATTGGCTTAATAATCAACGTCAAATATTGACGCAACAATTAAACTATTACGAGACAGAAGTTCAAAAACGCCGTAAGTCAAAAAAGGTACGTAAAAATAAATCAATACTACTTGCTTTGTCTCTTGTTTTAATTGTTTCTTATTTTTTCTTATTATATATAAAATTTTTAATTATTTGAGTTAGTAATTAATTTGTTTTATCTTATTTATTTTTAGTCGCTTAACAGCAAACAACGGCAGCTTCGCAAATCCGGTAACGAACTACAAGAAACCGACTCCGCGGAGCTTAAACGCGTTACTAACGAACAACAAATTCTTCAGAAACACTTAGAAACCGCTCGAAAACAAAGCCGCCAACATGGTGCATTAATTCAAGAATATCACAACAAACAACAGCAACGACAGATTCAATCCCAACCAAACGAATCTTGTTCTCCACTAATGTCACCATCCCAGCATTCCCCAATGCATTCTCCAGCAGCCTTAGTTTCCCAAAGTCCTGGTCCTAGTATGATTCAACATTCACCAGCGACGCCATCAATTGTTCAACACAGTCCAGGTACACCGTTACTTCAGCATAGTCCAGGTAATCCTCAATCAACCAATCCGGGGACAATGTCACCTCATAACGTCCAGCAACAATCCCCAAGAATTGGTACTCCTCAAGGTGATGAAAGTCCTTTTAGTCCTGGACCATTACCTTCGCCGGGCTTATGCAATCCCAACTCTACGCGAATGACATCCCCACAACATAGAGCTATTATTAGTGGAAGATTGACAACTTCTCCTGGTGCTTTTACGCCAGAAACGCGAAATCAGCAACAAATGATTGCTGATCAGAGTGTAAGAGTTCATAATTTAACTCAGAGATTTGTTAGGCCACCAGAAGGAGCACAAAGAAGAGGCGGAATTTATAGCGCGCAACCTGGACAGCAACAATTACAATTGAGTCAACAACAGCATCAACTGTTGCAGAGACAAATAATACAACAACATGAAAGTGTTGCTCAAGATCAGGGACAAAGTGTTATTGCAGCTCGAGGAACGTTACAACGGCAGCAGGTTCTTCAGCAACAACTTGAAGGTGTTCCGAGACAACTTCTTCAGCAACAGAATGATATTTCTCAAGATGGACAAAATCTTGTTGCTCAAAGAAATTTACAAATATCTCAACAAAGACAGATTCTTCAACATAATGATCTTATTACTCAAGATGGGCAGAGTGTCATTGCTCAAAGAAATTTGCAAATAGCTCAGCAAAGACAACCAATTATTCAGCAACAGCAACAACCGCAACAAGAAAATATTTCTCAAGATGGACAGAATGTTGTTCAGAGATCAATTCAAATATCTCAGCACCGACAACAAATTCTTCAACAACAAATTCTTCAGCAACAACCTAATATTTCTCAAGACGCTATTTCTCAGGATGGACAAAATTCAATTAATCAGAGATCTTTACAACTGATGCAACCGCAACAACGACAGATTCTTCAACAGCAACAACAAAGTGATCTTTCTCATGAGGGACAAAATGCGGTTGCGTCTCAAAGAAACTTACAACAGATAAAACAACAGATTCTTCAACAGCAGCAACAAATTCTTCAACAACAACATGAAGGTATTTCTCAAGAAGGACAGAATTCTATTGGTCAAAGAACGTTACAAATGGTTCAACGACAACAGATTCTTCAGCAGCAGCAACAACAACAACAACAACAACAACAACAAGAAAGTATTTCTCAAGATGGACAAAATGTTACTACTCAAAGAAACTTACAAATGACGCCACAGAGACAACAAATTCTTCAACAACAGCATGATGCTGTTTCTCAGAATATATTTCAAGATGGACAAAGCGGTGTTGCTCAAAGAACATTACAAATGCCTCAACGTCAAATTCTTCATCAACAACAGCATGAGTGTATTTCTCAAGATGGACAAACTGTTGTTGCTCAGAGAAATTTGCAAATAAATCCACGACAACAAGTTCTGCAACAACAAATTTTACAACAACAAATTCAACAACAGCACGAAAGTATTTCTCAAGATGGACAAGGTAGTATTACTCAAAGATCATTACAGATTACGCAACAACAACGACAACAAATTCTTCAACAACATCAGCAACATGAAGCTAGTTCTCAAGCTATATCTCAAGAAGGACAAAATGCTATTGCTCAAAGAACACTACAATTGGCTCAGCAACGACAACAGAAGTTGCATCAACAACAACAACAACAACAACAACAACATGAAACTCAAGAAGGGCAGACAACTATTGCTCAAAGGACGCTTCAAGCAGCTCAACAACGTCAACAAATTCATCAACAACAGCAACTTGAAGGTGTTTCTCAGACTATTTCTCAGGAAGGACAGAATTCTATTCATCAAAGATCACTTCAGATAGCTCATCAACGTCTTCTCCAGCAACAGCAACAACAACGCCAATTTCTACAGATGCATCAGCAACAACAGCAACAACAAAAGCCGCCTACTTCGCCGATGGTATCTCAGCCAGCAAATTCCCCTAGTCCACAGCTTCATCAGCAACTTCAGCAAGGATATGGCCAACCTCCAAATTCACCTATGGTGCAGCAGGCGACTATGGGGTCTCCAATGCTTCAACAACAGTTGAATCCAACTTCGCAACCGCCTAGTCCAATGAACAGAATTTCGCCCATGCTTCATGGCGGTCATCATCACTCTTCAACATCTAATCAACCGCCTAGTTCACCAATGATGCCTAGAAGTCCTATGGTGGCTGGATCACCGATGCAGATGCAGCGAAGACAATCGACCGGAAATAGCCCCGCTATGCCGGACAGACCTCAGAGTGTGGAAAATCCTGGAACTCCAAGAGCACCTCATACTCCTCATAGTTATGTTCAGCAAACCACTAATTTAACAACTTCAAGTGATCAGCAGCAAGTTTCTCAGCAAATTTCTCAGCAAGTACTGCAAGAACAATCGTTATCAGAAAATTCTAGAGGTGGTGGAAATCCCAATAATCCCCTAAACCCGGTTCCTTATCCCAAATCTGGATATATTAAATTGGGATTAAGAGGTGGTTCACCGAATGATGTATATTCACAAGTTTCTTTATCAGAAAATTCTATCAAAAGTGAGAAAAGTTCAAATGACGTTGCAGAACGTTCTCGTCCACAATTTCCTTGGTTTAAGAGATTTGGATATTTTAAATTAGGTTTACGAGGTGGATCACCGATGTGGTCAAACAAGGCGGAAAATAGCAAGGGATTAGAAACACCTCAGACAAAAAGAGATCAATCAACAGAAGAGAAACCAAATACTTCATCAAATCGGAAAATAAGTAGAGTTGGTTCGTTGGTTTGTGCCGATTATAATGACTTTGATGATGATTCGCATACACCACCGCAAGCTTCACCAACAATCTTAGATGTAAAATCAGGTGGTCAAGGCGCTTCTTTGATTTCCTCGACTTTAGACAATGGATCTTTAACCTTAGAAAGTCCTGGAGAGAAGCTGGAGCAACTTCCAGACACGACGGATTATGATGATGATAAAACCATTGTCAACACTGAAGTTACCTTGAGTTCTACAGCTCAGCGAGATAGTGATGATATCACTGTGATCGAACAGTTCGGCGATTCAGAATTAGTGGACGTTATATCAGGTAGTCTAGAAGGTGATATGCAGGAAGAATATGTTCTTTTTGAACCTGGAATGGTAGTAGATCTCTCCGCTGATAGCAATGATTCACTCTGCCACGCTCTAGTGAATGATGCTGGTCAGGGTCACGACTTGGTCCAAATTTTGGAGATTGAAAATCCCGAATCACACTCGGAAGAACCAATTTTGAGCGATGAAGATCTAGTTCCGTCTCATATGAAAAATAAGAAAGGTCTCAGACTCGATATTGTGAGAACTTTACAATCTGGAAAGAAACTAGTCGCTGTTACTGATACTCCTGAGTCTCCAGATCAGGAGGAACTCCGAGTAGAACCTTCTCCAGGTCCCTATTTAGATCATTCTCCTGATCAGGACCTCATGTCCTTAGTAAGTGAGTCTGAAGTGGTTATTATTGATCCTACCACAAAGTCTCCTGAAGACAATCTTTCTAAGGGTTCTTGCGATGATGAGATTGAAAAAACTGATTCCAACGGGCAAACTAATGTCTCTAAAGAGAATGCAGAAAGCTTAGATGATCGAACCAAGTCTTCGAAACAAAGCAAGAGTCCTACGAACTTTATGTTTTCGGAAAAAACAGCCTATACAAAAATTCCTGTTCACCAAACAAATGTTACCACAATTACAATTTCGAAACCGGCGATATCGTTAGTAAATACTGTACTGTCTATAAATTCAATTCCAAATTCTACTAGTTCTAATACTCAAATGAATCAAATCTTAACTCAGCCAATCACAATAGAAGCAAAACCAGTTGGTCAGTTTGACTCGAAGGAAGCTTCTTCAAGTTCGATTAGTAATCAGAAAAATGTCACATTGCCGTCTACGATGGCAAGTATAGTGGCGGATGCAAAACTTGCCGCAAAGCTTAGTCAAACAGCTTTGGAGAGTATTTCTAATTCTCAGCAAGGCAAACCAGACACGAAAGTTCCGACAGTCAGCGAAACACCGAAAATATTATCTTCTAGCAAACTTTGTGCAAGCTCAAGTTTATCAAACGTAACGGAATCTCTAAATAATCCCACAAAGTTAGTACTAAATGTACAACCAACTTCTGTGACACTGTCGACTCCGAAGATGTCGATTCCAGACTTGTCGATAAAAGAGAATATTTCGAAGAACATAGAGAAGCAAGCAGAAAGTCAGGAAAACGATATGAAAAGAAAAAAAGAGGAAGAGGAGATTCAAGATAAAATCAAGAATGAGAACGATTCTCTAGAATTATCGGATCTTTCAGGAACTATTGCTGAGGAAAAAAAGAGCGATCCGTTAAATACCACGGACGAGTTGGAAAGTATGTTAGAGGCTATTCACAATCCCGCAGAAAACGCTGAGAACAAAAATGATACTCCAACGTCGACCTTGAAGAGAATGTCGCCCGTTACTGATGATCTATCGCTTGTAAATATATTAGAAAATGATACTGAATCAGTAGAAAACGACAAAGAACAGCTCTCTTCAGGGTCTGACTCTCAAAAAGGTACGAATAAATCAAAAGAGACCGAAAAAGACATCGAAGAAGCTAATACCGACAAAAATGTTCTTTTAAATGAAAAGAACCATCAGGAAAGTCTGTGTACCGAAGCAGAGAACTCTAAACAATTCCTTTCGGATTCTTTGAGCGATGAAAAAACTTTGCTGGAAGACTCTTCTGATGATCTGTTGGACATTTTGCACAATATTATTTCGTCGAAGCCGGAAATGGCGAACAGTGGCGAACTAAAATCTAGTATTTACCAGATGCCAACTCCAAATAGTGGTGAACTGAAGTCTAGCATTTACCAGATGCCAGCTCCGTTGGATACTTTACCTTTGAACATTCTTCAAGATTCGATCGACTTGGAGCAAGAAAATTTCGAAAACGACCAACAAATTCCTCCGACTGAAACTAAAAATCAAGTAAAAAATCAAACTTCTGAAGTAAAGAAGAGTTCTCCAGCGACAAATCAAACTTCTACTTTGGTGGTCAGTACTGTGGCGCAGTTGCAAAAGAGTACAACTACTGTTCCTCATCTATCACCGCTTTCGAAGCCGACAGAATTAACTTCGAACGTAGCCAACGCGTCCAGTCAACTAATGACTTTCTTATCATCCTTTCATACCAATCAGACAACGGGGAATCAAACCACAGTAGTCACTATGGTTTCTCCGGCCAAATCTGGGAGTGTACTATCGACTTCTAGCACAATGTCGACTTTGAATTCATCAAATAATATTCCGAATGTAGTTGCGACATTGGCTAGATCAGATCAAGGTCGATCTCAATCAAACGTGACTAGCGCTAAAGATATGGATTTTAGTATGAAAGAGCCACCTAAGGAGTCTAGCGGAGTTGTTACTGCGATTTCGAAGGTCGGTAGTAATGAGCAGCAGGTTTTTCGGATTGCTTCTTCAGCTGCAACTCTTCAATCCACTTCAGTTTCGAATCTTTCAAGTACTTCTTCAGCAATTATAACATCTAGAACAATTGCAACTTCTATCTCAATCACCTCGAACGCCATATTAAATACCATGCTGACAAGCTCGACCCCTTTAAAATCTTCAGTTGCTTGTCATAGTCGAAGTAATACGATACCAACTCAGTCTGCCAATCTTCTGTGTTCTGTTTTGCCTTCGACTTCGATACAGCGCTCTCAAGGCCTCCAGACGATTGTTCAAGTCAGTTCAGGATGTTCAACTTCTCGAGTATTGGTGAATACCACTTCAACTGTGACAAACTCAATGCCAACTCAGTGCGTTAGGACTAACATGCCACCCTCAATGACTTCCAGCGGAGTTCCCGCTAGCATCCTTCAATCGACGTTATCACAAACAAGTCCTTCGACTTCTAATCAAGGACAGTACAAGCCTTCAGGTCTTCTACCTATGGACAATAAAAGTAACGAACTTAAAAATCAATCTGTGACACCAAAAAAAGAACCTGAAGATTCCGAAATTCAAGAAAAAAGAGAAATAGAAGGTAGCAAAAATTCTTCTAGTTCTTTACGATTAGAAGAATCCCAGAATGTATTGTTGAAGCAACTATTACAAAACACAAATACAAATACAGGATGTGCCATTCCTGCAGAAGCATTACAAGGACCAGGTCTATCAGGATGTCTTTCGCTGGAAGCTCAGTTAGCCATGCCTTTTTTGTCACAACCATTTTTACGTCCTCAGCAAGAAGTCCTGAGCGAATTAAAGGACGAAAGACCAAAACCGATAAAACACCTTCTTTTTACAAGGGAAACTTCTTTCTTGTCACATTCAGTAACACCTGTGAATCAAAGTTCATTAAATAAGGAAGAACCACCTAAACCTCCAATATCTAGTTCAATCCCGATAGCAGCACAAAAAGGACAAACTGAGAGTTCAAAGCAACAAGCACCAACAAAATCAATTCCTAGTACTTCAGCAAGTTCTTCAGCAAGTTCTTTAGTAAATCAACAACCTGTTTCTTCGACGGTAACAATGGCAAGAACATCTCCGAGCGTTTCTACAAATCAAGAGACTTCTAGTGGCGATCAGGTTAAGTCAGGGACTGGTATAAGCGAGGGACCTCCGACTCCACAACGCGTCGCCGTGCAAAGTAAACCATTAGTGACTACTGGAATGGCATCGAAGACGATGCCACTACCGACCAACAATTCCAGTAATATTTCTCAGACTCAGATCGAGCAGCCTCAAGTGCAAATCACACAAAAACCGATAGTGGCTCAAAAACCGATTTCTTCTTCATTATCATCATCCTCTTCTTCTTCTTCGACTTCCTCTGTTCAACAACAATCTGTTCAACAAGTGCCTCATAGCCAAGGGCCCATTGCAGGTCCACCACAAACCGTTACGGTGCCCGCTGTTCCATCGGGTTCCAATGCAGTGCCTTTGGTCGAAGTGAAGAAAGAGGTTGGCCTTGAGGAAGTTCTATCAGCTACAACGCCAACCAGTCAATTGCAGACTGATACCAAAGACTTTCTTACTGCCAAAGAAGAGCTCATGGACAGTGTAATGGATGATAAAACTGGTGAGTAATCTGTATTAGTCAATTCTCTTCTATTCTTAGTTTCTATTGCAGTCGAATCGCGTTACTGTTAACACGTTTGTCCAAATTACTCGCGTTAGTGTTAACAATTCCCCTCATTTTACTATTCTTTAACTTTATGCGCACGCAGTCGATGAAATGCACCGGAAATAGCATAGACGTATAATATATAGACTGCGCGTTTGGCTGAAAAGATGTCTTCAACGTTGAGAGAGACAACATACTTTGAATAGTAACTCTTTCTCTATCTATCATTTTTCCCACTACTTTGCTAGACAAAGATGAGGCTACTATTCAATACCAGCTGTCTCTCTCTCAACGTTGAAGACATTTTCTTGACATGGCAAAGGTAGGGAACGCGCAGTCTATATATTATACGTCTATGGGAAATAGTGCGAAGAAAACACGTGCTACAAAACTCGTAATGTGATTGGCTGACATATAAAGTAAGATGGAGAAGTTAACATTATCGAAGGGAAGCGTGCTAATAGCGTGTGTAACACGATGTTAACAGTATGAAGATTAACAGTAACGCGATTCGACTGTGGTCAATTTCTTATTCAATACGTTAGAAATCATTACGGTCGCAATTAAGAAGAATTATTTTTCTTTTAGAAATTTTAAAATTAAAATTGTAAAATTAAAATTATATATTTGTGTGATTTAATCTGATTTAGATCTCAAAAAGTTGAAAAGAAGACAATATCAGCAGAAACGAAAACAAAGCCAAGGCAAAGATGCCACAACTGCGCCTCAGAAAAAACGGTCTCGCAAGATCTCACGTTATGACGAAGACTACGACACATTTGTGGATAATCTGATGGCACAGTTGCGACAGCTACCACCAATGACAGTGCTGGAACCTCTTCTGGGACGCAACTTCGGAGTATGTCCAATTTTTGGCTGTGGGGATCTTACAAAGATCGGAAGTCAGAAAGATTATAACGCGAGAACTGGCGACTTGATTGGAGGTTACGGTTCGGCCAGTTTGCCTGGAGTTTCTGATCACTACAATACGCAACCTTTCGGAGAATTAGACCCCTTACCACCTCAGCAGCCTTCGATCACGCAGAGAGGATTCTATGAACAAGAGTTTCCGCCTTTGAAGTTGGATGATTGTGCGTATTTTATTTATTTTTATTAAAAAATATCTTGCAAGAATAAAAATAATTTGTTATGAATTAATAAAATGTGTAATTAAAAAACTTGTTGTTTCAGCTGATGATAAAAAAGAAAATATGACAATGAATCGCGATGTAGATTCTCCGGATACCATCGTGAGTTCATCCTCGCCTGAATGTGTTATACCAGAATATATGCATCGTTTCCCCGGATTGCGACTAATTGAAGAAGAGTCAGACGAAGATGCGGACTGGTTGAAACGCGTGTCACCTGCCATACCTTTGATCTCGCCTATACCAATCAGATTGAAGCCTGCTTATTCGAAAGATGCAGCTAAACAAGACAAAGAGAACCTTGGAATGCCCAAGTATGAAAATTTATGTTTACTTATAATTAATATGTATAAAATAAATATATGTATAATATTATACAGTATTATACAGTAATATTATACAGTATGTTGTATCCAACTTTATTATTTTTTATTATTACTTAGAATATTGTTATTTATAAAGCTATGTATATTTTTTCAGACTTGGCAAGTCTCCTCCGATTCCTTTACGCGAAAATGGAAACGTCACCGTCACCTTAACACTTAATAGTCAAGCTGCTGATGATATTATGGGTGTACTTAAAGACCTCGCTAATATTCTGAATATAGCACCACCCTCTGGTTATCAGATTGTTGAACGCACCACCACACCTCCCAGTCAAAAACTGGGATTGTATAGAACAAAAGGAAAGGACGGTAAAGAAGGTGGTATGTAGTCAGAAAAATAATAATTATCTAATCACTATTTAAATTAATATAAAACATTATTCAATATACATAAATATTTTAAAATATATTTATTTTCCAGCTCCAATTGATATACAAAGCATCTTGAACGGTGCGGCGAAGTTCTGCCGCCATTGTGACGTTGTGATTCTTAATAGCTTGATTCGGAAGAAAGTGTCGGATTTGCCATTCTTAAGCAAAGAAGAAGCTGAACCTGGTGACGAGCTTTGTTTTTGTTCGGTGGCTTGTTACATGCAATTTGCACTTATGCATCGAACACCTACCAACACTCAGGATAAGGTATAAAAGATGCACTTTTTTCCTGTTTATTATTACACATACGTATATAACATGAATGCATATTACATGATTCACTTATTTTGCAGGCCGCGACTATAGTAGACCATATATGTTCTAAAACAGAACCTTTGGAAGATGATCTGAAGAATGTAAAGAAATTCCCTGTCAAGCAGTTACAACAGCAAGAAAAAGTCAAAAGCATGGAAATAGATAATGGACCTGCTGTAGATATCAAAGTGAAAACTGAGAAGCCAGAAAATACGGAAAACATGGAAATTGATGAGAAACGAGCTAAGAAGCATTCGATTACTGAAGAGACTAATGAAACTGAGCCGCAACCTCCTGCAAAAGTTTGGAAAGGTGTGAAATATAAAATATGGTCGGTGGGAAACATGCAACCTCCTACTAAATTCAAAAAACCCACCGAAAAAGAACTAACTGAGGTAAATGATTAATCTAGTTATTTAAGATTGATTTGGAGAGATTTTGAAAAAATTCGATTGTCTAAAAAGTTACGTCTTGTTATATTAGATAGTTTTATTATTTCTCCGATATTTCGAAATAAACAAATGTTTTCAGAATTACATGTAAGAGAAATATAAAATATATTTTCTTTTGCTAGATGCTATTTCGCATGGGAATCACTGTAATGCCCGTGAAATGCGAAGACAGTCGTCGTTGCATGTTCTGTCAGGGTCAAGGTGACGGACCCACCGATGGACCAGCTCGACTACTTAATTTTGACGTAGACAAATGGGTGCATCTCAATTGCGCGTTATGGTCCGAAGATGTGTACGAACAAGTAAATGGCGCGTTTATGAACTTGGATACTGCTCTGCAGCACAGCCTCGCTCTGAATTGTATTGTTTGCGAAAAACCTGGTGCCACAGTCAAATGCTTTAAGATCAGATGCACCAATGTCTATCATCTAGGATGTGCTGTTAAAGATAACTTAGTTTTTTACAAGAATAAGGTATTGAATCACTTGTAAAATTAATATATGATATAATTAGGCTCATAGAATTTACGAGATTTTTTAATATTATTTTTTATAAAAGTGTATATGTATATTTTTCTCAATCATCTATTCTCTCTTTCTCTTTTTTTAGACCACTTTCTGTTCCCAACACGTCCAAAAGAACGAGAAAGATAACGAATTGACCACGCTGTCAGTTTATCGTCGCGTTTATGTCAATCGCGATGAAAATCGTCAAGTTGCAGCAGTGATGCACCACTCCGAGCATAACCACTTACTTCGCGTAGGGTCTCTCATTTTTCTCAGTGTCGGCCAACTGCTACCTCATCAATTGCAGAATTTTCACACGCCTAATCACATTTATCCAGTGGGTTACAAGATCATACGCTTCTACTGGAGCATGCGCACACCTAATAAGCGTTGTCGTTACATCTGCTCAATCCATGATGTTTCTGGTCGTCCAGAATTTCGTGTTCTCGTCCAAGAACCTTTTCAGGAAGATGTTGAGCTGCGGGATGCCACTCCGCGGGCTGTTTGGAGTCGAATTTTAGAACCGCTTGCGGCATTGAGAAAAAGTACAAACTCTATGCATTTCTTTCCGAGACATATTACAGGCGAAGATTTGTTTGGCCTGACAGAACCAGCAGTAGTGCGAGTTCTGGAAAGTTTACCTGGAATCGAGACCTTGACTGATTACAGGTGGGTATCTCTTGAGTTAACGGAATGATAACGATTTGGATCACAGTTTTCTGAATTTTATTAATTTCAAATTCAATTTTAGGTTTAAGTACGGTCGCAATCCACTACTGGAATTACCTTTGGCTATAAATCCAAGTGGAAGTGCGCGAACAGAAGCTCGTTTGCGTAATCAATTGCCGTGGAAACGTCCGCATACGCAACGTACAGGAGGTTTAGCGGCACGCGGAGCCGTGCCATTTGCTTTATCGACGTGCAGTAGCGTCGCCGGGTTAAGCACGAGCGCTTCTTCAACACTGGCGGTCGTTGCTGCCGGTGCGGGCGAAGCTCCCTCCTGTCCCTACTCCAAACAATTTGTGCATTCCAAGAGTTCGCAGTATAAAAAGATGAAGCAAGATTGGCGTCATAACGTTTATCTGGCGAGATCAAAGATTCAAGGTTTAGGATTGTATGCAGCGAGAGATATAGAAAGACATACGATGGTGATCGAGTACATAGGAGAGATTATCAGAACGGAATTGGCGGAGATGAGAGAAAAACAATATGAGATTAGAGTAAGTGTTGATTCTTCAATTCTATCATTTAAAATCTATAATTATCTCGTCCTTGTATCCTTTTATCTAATATATGTATTTTGGTTTTGCAGAATCGCGGTATTTATATGTTCCGATTAGACGAAGAACGAGTAATAGATGCAACGCTGTGCGGTGGTTTAGCTAGATACATCAATCACTCTTGCAATCCTAATTGCGTCGCTGAGATCGTCGAAGTTGATCGCGATCTTAGAATCATTATCTTTGCCAAGCGTAAAATCTCACGTGGTGAAGAGGTAACTTGCAAGGTTTTTAATTATGTTTTTTTAATTACTTTTGAATTTAATTAGAATCTTTGAAGTAAATAAATTTATTTAGATATTATCTATTTTTCATTATCTTATTTGGAAATTTTCTCATCTCTCTCTATTTATATTTTTTTAAATTCAATTTTTCAAGATTAGTTTTTTTGTAAAACTTCCATTTTATAGTCATCTTTTTAAAAATCTTATTTGTCTTTTATTTTTCCAGCTTGCTTATGATTACAAATTCGATATCGAGGACGACCAGCACAAGATTGCGTGTGCTTGCGGCGCACCAAATTGCCGCAAATGGATGAACTGAATAAATCAGGATGATCGCAAGAAGAAACAAATGAAAGACTCAATCTTTCCACCCTGTCGATTGTTATTGTTGCTCCGTTATATAGGGTAGGAAATTTATATAGTGGTAGTTTTCCACGTCGAATATATACAAAAGTAAAATAGAGACAAAATCTATATAAAAAAATTACATTAATACAAAAATACATACAAAGTTTATGTATATACACGTGTATTATCATATGTATATGTTATAATATAAGATATTATAATGTAAATATTGAAATATGCACGTTTATATTATAACTGTATACATATAATTTATTGCACTAAAATATACATAAACACACGACAAATACCACAGACACCGCCGTAATTCAACCTGTAAGTGCCATCGTGCGGTAATTCTAAACGATTCTAATTAATTCTAATTAGACAATTAACCCCGGATTTCTTCTCTCATTTCTTCTTCACATCATACATATTATGTATGATTATACGTTCCTTTTCCAACTAAAAGAAATTTTTGGTTTCTCTTAGTTGGGAAGAATATAAGACAAAATTTTTCAGATACAGATTTATATAAAAGAAGAATTAAGACAATTTTTCAGATCCAGATTTATATATAAAAGAAGAATTAAAAAGTTAAGAATAGATACAAAAAAGAATAAATTAATGTATAAAGTAAATATAGACAATTTTTAACAAAAGATATACATAATGTAGATTAAAACGTGCAAAATCAAAACAATTGCAAAAAATAGTTTAGTAAAAATGGTTTTATTAAACTAACATCAGTTAGTTAATCCGACTATATATTCGTCTGTTTTATGAACAATTTATTCTTTTTTGTATGAATACTAACACACAAAGTAAAAAACAGATTTTCTTTATTTAGGAGTGATCCAGGGTTAAGACTTTAAGAATCAATAGGTCGAAGAGAACTCGCGTGGTGCTAATCAGAGACGCCATCACATTCCTCCAAAGTGTTATACAATATACATATATTATACATACATAGTTATATATCGTTATATATATTATATATATAAAAAAAAAGAAATATCGCTTGTATATTACTATTATTATCGTGTACGAGACGAGTGAAAAGTATCAAGAGAGTGAGAGAATAGAAAAGTATGTATGTATATGAAAGAGAGAAAGAAAGATGAGTGTGAGAGATAAAGAGAATTTATATCTTTGCTTTTTGACGAATGACAATTTGTTGTAACATAGATTGTTTATTATATGATTATTATATCATGTATAATTATAATATATATTAGACACATCTCGCGCGTGTGATCGCACCGATTCTGTAAATATATATATTATATAGGAAGTAGTTATTTTCAAACTACTAAGTACATGTATGTAAAATGAAAGATACATATGAAATGATTTTGAAGATTATATACGATTATTATACCAATTTTTCATCAGAGGTGTGTAATTTATAATACGCTAAAACAAAATATCTACCTTTGCTTTCTCTCACAAAGACTTTTTCGTGCAACATAAATAATGGGAGAAAGTAACGTCAACCGAAGTTCTTATAACGTTGCAAAGTGTAAATTATAAAGAAGCTAATAATAAATATTGTAATTTTTTCGCATTAGAAATATTTTGTAATTTCTTTTTCTCTAAAAAATATTGTGTAAGTTATTTATATTAGATATATCTCACGCTATTTCATAACACAAGAATAATGTGTGAGGGTTTCGGTTGGCGCTACTTGCTGACATCGAAGCTTTCTTTTGCAGAAAACATTTTGTAGAGAAAACAGAAATTATATAGTAAATCTTTTCTCAATTTTATTTATTGGTCTTTTTATATTATCCGTGGAAAAGGTAAGTCTTACGAATATATCACTTAGGAATGGATCAGTCTGATCATTTTTCTTTTGTTTTGTTTAACCTTTCAGTACTGTCGAGATAAATTAGACGAACAATTTCAGTGCAGAAATATAAAACTCTTATGTCTTTTCTCAACTTTCCGGCTTGCATTGACCAATAACAAGGTGAACACTATGGCTTTGCTGCCTCGTCTCTTGATATAAATCCTTTTCTTTTTACATATTACTTTTTTTGACTGAAAACTTTACTGTATTTATAGTAATAGTTTTGATTTTTTGTTACTGGTTACTTATAAATAACAAAGTATTTTCAATAGAGATTAGCGATTTTATTTGTACATAAGTTTTTATTTTTTATTTCATATAGTTATATTTACAAAGATACATAATAACGCACATAAATACAAAACGCAGTCATTCCTTTCAGAAATTTGTTCTCTATCAGTCAATATGAATTATTTCATCAAATATTAATAATATATGATAATAATACTAATAAGAGTAACAAAAATATATATATTTAACAACATATGTATATATATATATTTACAAAAACCTGGCACAGCAAACCAAGTATAAACAAACTTTTATCGCTTGTTATTTTTTTTAAATCTAAATTGGCAATTACTCGATAAGTTTTAGAGAACTAATCTTCAATCAGTTTTTATAAGACAAAATTGAAACTTGTACGCGAAAGTATATTATGTAAACGCGTAAGAAGTAACAAAAGACATGCAAACTTGTGAAAGATTTCGTAGCAAAATCAGTGTAAATGCAAATCTTTGGCCTTTTTCGCATTCCAACGATGTAAATTAATATCGTATTTTGTTCTGTCGTAAATAAAAATGAAGAATTTATCATAAACTTTATGAGGAATGAGTAGTTCGTTTTTCAATAATAATAATTTGTATAATTCTAATATAATAAGGAACTAACGGTTCTTATCACTCTATCGTGAAACAAAGCTCTGCACATAGATATAAGACTTTCTCTCAAATATTCAATTGTAATACACTCAAATATTTTTCATACACGTATGTATATATGCATGTATACTGTTACGGTCAGTCTTAAGTACTGCAAATATTTTTCGTAGATCTTGAAATTGTTTTTCTACGTTATTTAATTACATATCAATTATTATTATGTTTGCTCATAAAAAATGAAAAACAAAAAACGTCTACATTTGCGAGAAAAGGCTTTTTCTATTTAGATTTAGATCTATATTTTGAAATTTTTTCTACAATATGTTCTGAATATTTTTTCTGCTGTTACCACGTGTGTGTGTTGCGTATGAAGAATGAAGAGATTGTTGATTGGTGTTCTTTGTTAATTGCATGTTGAATACGATTTAGAATTGTACGATAAAATTCACAAATTTGTCAGTTTAGTTACTTAGATAGAACTTTAAAAAAAAAGAACAGTTAAACAAATAAAGTTTTCTGTAATAATCTTTTATTATTTTTATTTTTAAATATTAATTTTTTTAATTTACTCTAAATTTGAAATAAAATATTTTAGAGTAATTTTTTTAAATATATATAGTTAAATACATTGTGAAACTAAAATTCTACTACTTAATTGATTTTGAATTGTATTATGTAAAAATTAATGAATAATATAACAATTAATAAGCTGTAAATAATATATATTTATACGATTAATAATTATATATGTATTAGTAGTACTTATATTATATAAGATTAATTGTTTATATTAATATATGTATGAGTTTTATTAATTATGAAGTGATAAATGTATTGATAAATTTGATTGACACAAGTCAACATCTTTCACTCTTCATTCAAACATCACAATTGTGTTTTTGATTTTATTTGAAAAAGATTGAAAATCTTATGAACAACAAACTTTATTCTGGTTTTATATTTCCGTATTTTATATTTGCGCGACAAAGCTGTTCTGAGTAACATCCTGAAAGCTGGATGCAATAAACTGGCAGATCCTCTTTACGTAGCTTCCAAGTCGACTCTGTTGCATGCAACAAATAAATAGCAATTTAATATAAAGTAAAAAGATCGTCGAATAATTAAAGAAATTTGGTTTAGAGTGCAATTTAACAAACAAAAATCTGTTCCAACAATTGATGAAATAAGCAATAAATGCAGAATAAATTTTATAAAGCATAAATAATACTAAAACTATAGAAAAATGTAAGATAAAGATCATAAAAATGAGATTTAGAAAATTAAGCAATGTACAAAAGAAAATGCAGTAAAGCTGATCAAATTCTCTACAATGAGTGCTTAATGATAGTGTGCGTTGACACCAATGCATGCAAAATTACAAAAAAGCACATTGCATAAAGTTTATATATATAATTATATAAATAAATATATTTCAAATAAAAATAATTATTTGGCTAAAGAGACAAAAGTTGGGACTTTTTTCACAGAAATGTAAGTCCATATAAGATTTGAAGATCGTTGATCTCTTTATTGTTATATTACGTTGTTTATAATAAGAGTTTATAATATATCCACATATATATTACAATTTTATGTACAAGAAATTTATATTACGAACTACTGATAAGAGAGAGATAGTCATTTTTTTTCCAAAGAAATTAAAAAAATAATTAAAAAAAGTGATTCGACAAAGAAATGTTTTCTAAAAAAGAAAGGAAAAATTCTAAAAGAGAAAACTAAAAAGAAACTTAATAAGAAGGAGAAATAAATTTTTCGCGCAAAAAGTATACATATGTATTAGAAATATTGAAGAGAGAGAGATGTAAAAGATTTACTAAAAAAAGAAAAAATATACAATCACGTCACACACAGTTCGTTTTATGTTTTGCGAGTTATTTTATCTAATTTAACTTAAAACTTTTAAGTTTATATACATTCGCGCACGTCAATACATCCGGTAAATATTTGTTTTATCTTCTTTCCTCTCCTATCCGAGAGATAAAATTTCGTTTTTATATAATAATCTCTATATATAATATTTTTTATTAATCTCTCTATATATCTTTATATAACTTGAAAAATTACTATAATTTCTAGAAATTAAAATTTCATTGTATTTTTATCATCATTTTTTTTTGATGTATTAAATAAATGTATTCGACATATATATCAAAATTTTGTTAATTTTAATTATTTTTTTAATGTAATGGAATGTTAAATTTATAATTAATTCTTAATTTAAAATAGTGACAGTAGTAAAAAATAAATATTTATTACAGATATATAAAGTAGAATATTGTATACATAAAGTATATAAAATTCAAATCACATTGAAAATTAGGAAGACGAGGATTTTAGAGTTACGTGTAAATATAAAATGTTTATATTTCATACAATATTATTAAAAAATATAATTATTTCGAAAATATAATCAATCGAATAGATTAATGACATATTAGCCGTTGTCTTTATGCTATCAAATAAATTCAATGTTTCATTAAAATTCTGGTTTTGATGAAATAAAATAATTATCTACATGATGCAATTTTAAAAAAACTTTATAAAATATCATATAAAAGAAAGAGAGTAAACAAAAAATATAAACAATTTTATATTATATAAGATAAAAATATAATTTTTCTATTAAAATTAATTTTTATATTTTATATAGAATTGTTCAACATATTTACGGAGGTATAAATAGATTAAATATGACAATTGCAATATCTTTTTGATAATAAAATAAGAAATTCTTAAATAGGTCGTATAATCACATAAAAACTGTTATTATTTTTTTTGTGATACCGTTTTTTCAACTTTCCAGAACAGTAAGTTAAAATGCAGAAACTTTCTTCTATCCAGTCTTAACAACCCTCACAACGTTTATAATATATTTTTTCTTATTTTGCATAATTAATATTTGTGCGCAAACTAACAATATAACAACACAGCATAACACTATATTTATCGTATCTAATAACTTTAAAATAAGACGATATTCGTATCTGATTAAAACAATAAGAAAAAGTAGAGAAAAATTCAGAATCAACAACCTCAGAGAGAAACTTCAAGAAAGAACACATTAACGAAAGCTAAAAGAGATCTCACAAAGCAATTTGTTAAACGTCAAATTAATGTTTCTTGCTAATTTTTTTGTTTTAGAAAAATGTCAGTAATTATTGACATATTTAATATTATTAATTGATCCCACAAGTATCTCTACTGCCATTAGAAAATATAAAAAAAGACTATGGAAAGATCGTTAATTTAAGACGTAGATGTTGAAAAGTCAATATCGTTATTTTAATACATCACTACGATGTGCGATATACGCGTTGCCGGATATATCGTTAGTTTGCGTTATTCGAAAACTATCTACCGTTAACCGTCTCATCGTCACCAGCACCAGCAACAGCACCTGGGTCAGATTAGCCCGCACAAGCTGAAAGCATCACGTCAACCAATGTCGCCGCTGGCAGGATTATAGTCCTGGTAGCCACCGTTCAGCAGATTGCGACCGCTGCCACTATAAATGGCGGCTCGGTAACTGTACCTATTAGCTGCAGTTGGGCGTTCAGGGACCGGCGGTGGTATCAGAGCACCTTCGGCATTTACCAGAGCTCCGGGTCCAGGTAGAGCACCTTCATCTACTTCACCAATGCTGCTTTCCACCAACGACGACGGCTCCATCTCACTGAACGCCAATCGGGAACGAAGTAAGTAGGCGTACGTTCTGTACCGCTTCAGCTGGAACGAGCAGCGTATGGGTTGCTCTGTAGGGTATGATGAAGCGAAGGGATAGTGGTTTCAGATGGAGTAGAAAAATACGTACTTTTCTTTAATTACAAAAGAAAGAAATTAATTTGCGGCTTGTTTTGTGGTGATTTCGAACAAGGAAAGTTTTAGATAAGTTCTGTTGTTTTACAATTACTAGAAATGATCACACAGAAAATGAAAGAACAGAAACGACAGACGTAAAAATAAAAGTAAAAATAAAACAGAATAACAAAAGTTTTCAAGTTTCTAATAAAAAAAAGAGAACATATTTTTACGGTGTATGTAACTTTTTTGGCAGACAAAGTTTTTAATTGGAAAAGATTTTTTCTAGGATTTCTGTGAATAAAAATTTTAATTTTTGCGATTGTGAAAAAAAGAAATGAAATTTCTGTACAATGTTACTTGTGTTCTTTCGTGTTGAGTTACCTCGTGATGCAAATACGCATCCTTTTCCTTGTAATTCTGTACAGTAAGAGCTTTTGCGCCTCTTTCCGGAGGATGCCGTCTGTGTTCGTCCAGTTCCGCTTCCAATCTATTGACTCTCTCTTCATGATCTCGCAATTGCTCTCTCTAAGAACAAATCAATTAAATCTAGAGAAAATGAACGAACAAATGAAACTTAGAAACTTGAACTGCTAAGAATAATAAGATGGTTAGCACATTTGACGCGGGTGTGTTCGTGCAGAAATGTTTGAAAAACGTCAAGTAAAAAGATATCGTAGAGTATCACTCACGGAATTTAATTTTGTATGACTACACGGCAGTAACGGGCGCTGGAACTTGCGTTGAGAGCCGACGGCGCCCGCGAGCGGCTGACATGAGAAGCTGGCGCACACGAAATTGATCGTGTCGACCCAGGACTGCAGCTCTTTCGAATCACTGTAATCAATATCAATACGCTCGTTGATTATCTTTAAAATCTAATTTAAACATAAAATAAATTTCTAAAACTAAAATAAAATCGAAACAAATTACAACTTTATTAGAATTGAAATTCAGTTTAAAAGTTAATTCAACTTGGCACATTTAATTTTCGACTTTTTTTCTCTATTGTTTTGCATAAAAATATGCACCGGATATGTACCTCGTTTGAAAGAGATACTCGGCCTGATCGGCTGTCTGCAACCGGAAGACGTGTTGCTTCTTTGTATAATCTGTCGCCTTGGTGGCCAGTGCGTGATGAATGCGTATAGCATTGTGTAAACTGTCGTTACGGAAGCCATGCTCATCCTTATGTAAATATAACACAAGCTCGCGCAATGTACAATAGTACATTTTCCAGCCTCGCTTGCCGAACGGAGCTGCAACATTATCGTGTAAAAATAAGAAATAATATATTTTAATAAGAAATATATTTAGTATATTTTTGTTATGAGAAATATATATAAACAAAAGAAGTGCATACTTTTTTTGCCGTTGGAATCGTAACAACATTTACGCATAACGTAACCTTTTTTGAACTCCGTGGCACCCGTGACATTTGGCACATCGAGGAATGGATTTCCACCACCGGCGATCACTGCTGCATTATCGCTCTGCTGAATTATCTGATTTGCTGCCTCATCTCCTTCTTCATCCCTAAATACACAGAAAATAGAGAAAGCTAAGCTTCTTAAATCTATAAACATAATTTATTACATAATATTCTACGCGTAACCGCGTTTTCATTACTTACAAGGCCCACTCGAGAGGAAAGGATTTTATGGCATTGTAAAGCTGCTTGAGTACTTCGCGAGGGAAGTTATCACCATCGTTGAGCTCCGACAGATTCTCAATAAATTCCGAACATGACATCTTCCGACCGATATTCTGACCATGCAAGTCCGTGTTAAGCAGCATTATCGCGCAAGTTAACGTGTGAACCGCGTCTAAAAGTGAAGAAGTAGAAAAAATATCTTAAAAATATATTAAACATTTTATTAATTTTAATTTCTGCAAAAAAAGACATAAATATTATAAAACACACATACTGACCTTGCGAGTTAAAACTACCGGGATTACAATCAAGATATCTCTTGGAAAAGTGTACCAAAACTCTTTCTCTTTCTTGAGTTTCTCCGGTCAACGAGAATTGAGCGAGGAATTTCCTAAGAGCCACATCCAGTGTGTCTCGCTCGAAGTTGAAGTAGCGCAAGTATTCCTCCGCCACGGCTTTGCTAAAATCGTTGCTGTGGACATACGATAATGTTATATGTGAAATTGAAACTTTGGAATCCGCGGACATTTTGTGTACAATCCATTAGCGGGAAACGGCGTACTTTTTACTTAGATGCCTGGAGACGTCCGACTTCTTAAAACCGTCCAAAGAATAAAGACGTTTGGCCAATCGAACTGCGGAAGGTAAATCTACCGCCTTTGGGCTGTAGTGGAAACTGTGCAAACTTTCAATATCGCTCTCCTCGTCTGCCGACTGCGGCGGCGATGCATTTCCCTTCTGTTCCTCGGACACTCCGACGACCTCTTTTTCATCCTCGCATTCTTTCAATTCCTACGTTCAATAATAAACAAATAAATATATAACTAAACTAAAACAATAATAAACTAATAATAATACAAACATAAGATAATATCAAGAAAAATATAGAATTTTATATTATGTGTAAAAACTGTGTACAATTATTTGCCAAAAATATAATAACAATAAAAAAATTCAAGAGGCAATTATTTTTCTCTCAATAAAATTCCATAAAATTACCTGATAACCTACACATTCAGGTGCTATAGATCCCGTCACATTTCCAGGAACTCCAGGTTGATTTCTCGGCAAATTTTGAGGTACAACAGATGGCACCAGATCCCCACTAGGATTTCTTCTTCTCGCTTGCCTGGGACTTGTATTCCTCGGGGTCTCTTTATCAGGTCCCTTTACCTGAATTACTATCCTGTGCTCCCCAGCATCTTGAGGATTGGCTTTTAGCCTCCTTTGGGGCGGTTCACTCGCCAGAATGGTCGAATCACTATCGCTGGGATCGCTCACCATCATAATATCCCGTGCACTGAGAATATCCATCGTCTCTTCGTCGTTGTAGTCCGGACTGGACATGTTGCTGATAGCTTCCGACTGGCTGATATCGCCATTAGCGGGAAGATGACTACTGGGAACGCCGGAGACTCCAGGAGCAGTTTGAACCGGTGGAAACCTACGGGAGCCAGAGTTGGAGGACATAACGGAGGACGAGACGGAGGTGGGAGAAGCGGGAGACAGAGAACGCTGAGGACTTGTCGACGAGGATGATGAAGAAGAGGAGGACGAGGACGAGGAACCACCGTTCTGACAGCAAGAAGCAGCCGGCGAGCTGACGGGCGCGTTATAGGTCCACACGATACGTTCGTTCGGCATCAAACCTTCTGGCCGTGGATCTAACAGTGTGTTTAGGCTTGATGTAACATCGTCGTCGATATCAATATCTACGGCGCTCATCGAAGGGTCCTTTTGAAATTGCAAATGATCTTCCGATCGTGAAGTACGCACAAAACCGAAGCTCGAGGGAGTGTTCTTGCTGGGATCGACCTGAACCAGAGCTCCCGGGGTACCCTGTACACCGTCGCGCCTAGCTGCGCCCACGGGTGACGTACTGGCTGAGCTGGAGGCCTTGTAAGCGTTTCCTCGGTGATGGTGGTGATGCTGATGGGCCAGTTGGGTCTCGTTGGGACTGCTAGGCACCGAGTTGTGATGGTGATGGTGATGATGATGATTATGATTGTGATGAGTGCTAGTGGTGACAGTGGTGGAGGTGTGCTGGTGATTGGGATTGTACCTAAGGGAGTCAACCTTTCGCTGCTGATGCTGCTTGGGTAACAGATTGCTGCTCTGCTGCGTGCGCGATAAATTTAACATCAGATCGCCAGTCATCATGTATGCTTCGAACCTGAAAAAAAAGAAAAGAACAAACATTCCAAGTTGTTATTGATAATAGTAAATATGAATAATACTTATGCGCATACGTGTAGAGTTACTAAGCTCAAAACAATTTTATGAGATAATAAGAGCCGAGATAAAATTAGTTACGCTCGAACGGGTGACGAAGATGCGATAACGTTTAAATAACAAGCGATCAAAGTTGTTTATTTTTGTACCTAGGCGTATTTTTCTGTCGAGGGAATTTCTCAGCAGAGAGTGGCTCCCATTGAGTTCGCTCTTCTTCCTTGAAGTTGTCCACGGGCGGTAGAAGCGCTTCCAACTCTGACGAGACGGAAGCGTCGCTACACGAGCCATTGCTTCTCGTCGTCGTCGTCGCCGACGTCGACGTTGGCACAGGCGAATCCGCGGATACTTCCGGCGTGTCCGATGCCTTTCTAAGCTCCTTGTTTTCGACATTGTCAGAAACGCTGACGTTCTTGGGGTTGTTCGTTAGGGCATTTTGCGATGAATCCGTCTCGTCATCGTTCGAGGGTTGTCCGGGAGAAAGAAGACGTCGAACGTGCGCTTTTACAGCAGGATCTGAATAATTTTACTCTTTTTAACACACACATACATCCAGATTCTAATATATACATGTATGTATATCATATAATTCAAAGTGGCAAAGATTTGTTTCTTCTGTGAAAGAGCGAGAGAGAGAGAGAGAAAGAGAGAAATGATAGACCGATAATGTAACAAAAAAACTACAGCGATAATATAACGTAAGAATAAAAATGCTCTAGCTATACAAAATTGCGACAAAAACATAAAAGAGCGTTCCGACAAGGTCTCGTCGTGATCGTCTGACAGAAAATCGTTTGTCATCTTCACGCATCGTTTGAGGATCACCCGTGCGAATAATCGCGCGCCCTTGGTCATCGGCCATCCCCTTCTATGGGGTGGATGCGTAACTTCCTCCTTTTGTCGCGTTAGTTGCCGCTTGTTACAGCGTTAATTCTATTATTACTACCATGTCAGGTTCAAGAACGTGCTCCGACAGTGATCTATCATTAGATCGCTCTCGATCGCGAGAGTTCACCAGCCTCGTAATATGTGTTTGTGCATACAATATCAACAAAAAATTTATTCACGCTTATAACGTTATGTAAGAAACAATATTATGTAAAAAAATATAATATATATTCGATTAAATATTCCTAAAATACATAACTCTTACATAAACGATAGACAAACGAGCTAATTTGTACATGTGCACGCGATACAATTATATATTACACTATAATATTATATCCCTCTTATGCGCGTGTGGTCACATATTGATTATTACGGGATTTTTACTCACCTCTTCGCAGCTTTAAGGTGACTGGATCTGAAGAAAGCCGCAAACATTTCAACACTGAAACAAAATGTTAATCTTTATTGTAATTTCAGCTTTAAAATTAAAGAAACTTTATGTATTTATACGTTAACATGTATTTATTACAGAATTTTGGTAAACTTATGTGTATGTCTAAAATTAATTAATATATATTAATTTAAGTTTTTACTTTTTCATTTATTAATAAGGTGGAGGAAATTTTTTAGAATTTTATTAGTGTGAATGTGTACATGTTTAAATTGAATGTGAGTTAATATAATATATAAGTTGCTACAAATTAATAATATCGATATGATGGAGTCTATTTTTATGTTACGTTTTGAAGGGCGAGGAATCGATGAAATATGTGACCATAAATTTTTGACCATAGCAGAACCCACGTCTGTGGTCTGTCACCGACTTAATTTGACAGACGGATATATTCAACTCTTACGTGGACTATTACATTCATCACCGCCATTTATGAACTTTAACCTTTAATCGACCACGTCATTCATATAATTGCAAAAACTACTTGTAGTCGCAAATTTTCCATATATTGCACAAATTTTGAAGGTTAGCATTAATTTTCTTCAAACATTTTTTTGTATAACATTTTGATACATTATTTTTTCTCTGACATATAACAGTAGTACTCAATTACTTATACATAAATTACTTATATACTTATTAAAAAGGAATAAATATACGTACATAATTATTCACGTAACAACAAATACATAATAAATATATAATTTACTACGTTAATTATATGTTTGTTAAAGAAATGTCTTACATATTCTGTTCTCTAAGGTGTTATCAAGTTCGATTTCGATGGTCATGCCAGTTAACAAAATTGAGATGTTTTTTATCCCTCTCTGTATAAGTAATTTTCTGTAAAAGTTTACCAGTTGAATTGCAAATAAAAAATTGTATTATATTGTCTCAAATGATTGACGTTTAATTTATACATTTCTTGCCGTTATTCATGTAGATGCGAAAAAAATTTGACTGACAAAAAAAATTGAACTGTACATCTGATGTCTCAAAAGTAAAAATGACGAGTTTCTGAAATCTACTTTTCGTATCAGTACAGTCGCTGTACGATCATGTTTTATGTGGATTAAAGTTATAAATTTTTGAAAAATATATATAAATAAGATATTCTTTTTTACCTTCTTTTGTGCTGAAACGATTGACATCAACTTCATTCACTCTGAGTATAACGTCACCAGCTTCGACCTAGAAAACAATCAGGCAAAACTGTTTTATGTACGAAGGATATACATCGCACACGTATACATTATATGTGTATATTATACTTTCGCATTATCGTGCGTTTAATTTTATATGTTCGCATATCTGTTTTATTCGATTAAATACATTAAAATAATTAACTGATTATCACCTCATGTGTGCGCGTCTCTCCTATAATTAACTATAATAATGTCTCTGACGTAACGCCATATTTATACACACACGTACACATTAATAATATAACATTATTATCAAATACGCGATAATACGACCGGTCGAAAACGCACGCGGACCACCGCCGCGTGAAAGTCTGAAACCAAAGCGAGTCCTGTTACGAAATCGAGTCGCTCCGTGTGAGATAAGTTCAGCGAAAGGATTCCAGTTTATCTGCACCAGATTCCTCAGCGGAATATCAAGAGGAAAACAAGATACGCGTATCTTTACAATAAATCTTTATTTTTGCTGAGTTAAAACTGTAATATTTGAGTCGAAGAAAATAAATGAAAACACACTCTCGTATTGAAAGAAAGAGAGAGAGAGAGAGAGAAAGAGAGAGAGATTATAAAAGATAATAAAAAATTATGACGACGATTGAACTCTTTCTCAGACACATCTTTTACGCTCGCGTTTTTTTAATTCCTTTCCTTCACACTGTTATATAATTAACAGATGATTTTTGCGAAAAGCCGAGAGATTCACCTGACAGAGAGGCATGTATTCGATGTGATCGAATCTATCTCTCCCAGAGCGTTCCCCGAAGAGATAGTCGAAAGGTCGCAAACAGCACGACAAACAAAACGCAAGTTTAGACATTCAAAACACTTCTGGTACAACACCTTTCGGACAACAATATTTTTGTATTTTCTATTATCGAAGAACATCAACAACACGCGACCGATAAAATGCGACTGATCTAATGTCGAGTCGGAAGACACACACACACACACACACACAAATTTCGGGCAGTAGCCAAATGTATTTTCAGAACCCGCAATGACATTGACTTCTTCGGGCCGTTCTCCAATATGTTAGTTAGTTCAAGTACAATTACGTATATGTATGCTTTCAATCGTGACAACTTTTCCTAAGATTTTTGACGAGAAAAGAGATGTGTCCGTGTGGAAATATTAAATATACACGACCTTATTAATTAATCAGTGAAAGAAAACTATCTATTAGCTATATTAATACTGAAAAAAATTAATTTGAAAAAGTAAATTAATCTCAATATTGCAAATGAAAGCAACTCATACAAAGGGCATAAAGAATTTCTCGAGACACGCTGTATAAAAGAATAATAAATGCGAATCACTCAATCCGTCCGATAATCATTCAGTCAGTTCAGCTGATTCGTGAATAATAAAACGATGCCGAAGGTTCCATTGATTATTCCCTCGATAACCGAAATGACCGAGTTATGCGACCTGGGAAGTAAGTCCAGCGATTTGAAAAAGAAACAGAACGACGAGGATAAAGTGAAATTTCGTTGTGACTTCATGTCGACGCAGACCAAAGTGATGTTGGCGAGAGGTTGGACACAGGTAAATTTCTGCGTCAAAATTTGCCGTGTCTTGAAAGCCGTACGGCAATTAGAGCACTGCTTCTCTCTCTTCGTTCCCCGAGATAGTCGATCCCAAAGACAACAGTTGGCACTTGTGGTGGTGCGAGACGGGCGACGCGCTGCGACAGGTGTTGGACGGGGATCGGAAGAAGCTGCGTCCTCACCAACGGGTGCCGCACTTCCGTAACCATTACGAGCTCACGCGCAAGAATTACCTGTGCCGTAATCTCAAGCGGTACAAGAAGGTTCTCGTGAAGGCCGGGAAAACGGCCGAGGCCGAAATCTGCGACAGCATGCCAGTGACCTTCGAGTTGCCTAGCGACTACCGAATGTTTGTCGAGGAGTATAACAAGTAGACGTTGTTTTCCGTTTTCTTATCATCTAATTCCATCATATTCTTCTTCAATGTAACTGTACCGTATGTAATTGTACATTTCAAAGAAATTAAATTAAATAAATAATTTATTAAATCTACCAGGCAGCAAGGAGCTACGTGGATTGTTAAACCGGCGGCGAAATCGCGAGGTATAGGCATCTTTTTGTTTAGAAAACTCAAGGATCTTGCGGAATGGAAGAGCAGAGAAGCCAAAGCTGCCGCCTCGCAGCAGCAAGGAATTTCGCCTGAGACTTATATCGTTCAGAGATACATAGATAATCCTTATCTCGTCACAGGTTTGGATTTTAGAGTCTGATGTGTAATTTACAATTATGTGACTTCAATTTGTTTGTCTTGAACGTTCGTTCAAATATCGCGTCATAATATATTTAACAGCAAGAGATGTGAATCCTTGATTTCAGGACGAAAATTCGATCTGCGTCTTTACGTATTGGTGACGTCGTTTCATCCGTTGAAAGTGTGGCTGGCCAGGGAGGGGTTTGCTCGCTTGTGCGGACGATTGTTCGACTTACAGAACATTGGCGATAACAGAGTGCACCTGACAAACATGGCGATACAGCTGAAGGCGAATCAGAAAGGTGCTCCTTTGATGGAGAATGAGAACGAGAAATGGGACTGCAAGTGGGCTCTGAGCAAACTCAGAGACTACTTGACGGCTTGTCACGGAGCAGAAATGATTGAGAACTTGATACAACGTATCACCGGTACCGTTTTATCTCTGCATTTTTTTAATTATTTCTTATTTCGGAAACTTCAGCTTCAGCTTGCTTTTGTTGCAGCGGTGATAATGGCGAGTCTGTTCGCGGTGCAGCCTGCCATGATGCACGATCGAAACTGCTTCGAGCTCTATGGTTACGACGTATTACTCAGCGACGACCTGCGACCTTGGTTGCTGGAGGTCAACGCGTCCCCCGCTCTGGCAGGCACCGATGACGAAGACCATCGCCTCAAGTTCGATCTGGTTGACGATGTCCTCAATGTTCTCGACTTCGAGGTATAGCATTAATTAAAATTAATGTTTCATAAGATACAAGTAATAATATAATATACATTTGATATAATATATAATTGTGTATACATGTATACAAAAAATTATACTGTTGCGTAAAAACCAAGATGGAAGAAAGAGAGAAGGACCGTTTTGCATAAGTAAATAAATCGATAATTCTGCTTGGAGGGTCACTTCACTGGTCGCGAGACTAGAATCGGGGGGCTGGATCTGCTCTGGAACGACGGACCAGTTTGGACCAGCTGCCCGTATCCCGGCATTGGCGCGGAAACGATCCCTAACGATCTCCGGAGGCTGAATATCTTCCTCGGGGCGATTAACGATCGCCAGGAGCAGCTCTCCTTATTGAGGAAACAGCTGATCGAAAATCGCAAAGTGGGACAAAATTATTCGCACATGGTGCAATATTGTTTGAAATAAACTGAGGGAGAGAGAGGAGTATGACCGCGTATTATATGTATATATATAAGTCGATACAAAAACCGAGACCTAAATGAAATCCATGGCGGTGCTTCTTGGTGCTCCGTGCTGCTTAAAACTCATTTGCAACATTGAAACATCGAGTAATTAAATTTTACTTTACGCTTCAATGCGATAAATTTTAATGTCATATTTTCTACTTTGTTCAGAAATCAATTTCGACTTACACTGCCCTTATTACTCTCGGTATTTGTTTCAAATATATACATATATATCAATATCTTTGTGTGTGTGTGTGTATGCGCGCAAACATCCATAAAACTCGTTGGCCAAAACACCTTTGATCATTCATTAAAAAATTATTCACGAAAATGTGTCGCCATGCAGAAAGAATGCAGCTGGTGCACTCTCGCTTTTACGTCGCTCTCTCATCTTGGTGCTTTCGTCATTTTTTTTTCTTCGTCAAAACTAAATTTAGCCGAAGACTCGTGCGACTTTGCAACCGCGTTGATCAGCTAGTTTCAATATTACTTAAATTGTTTATTTGAAACGGCAACGAAAGAGGACTTTGGTCATTCATTCGAGTTATCTAACATTTCTTTTCTTCCTCTCTTGCTTCTCTTCTTTAGCATGCAAATCACGTAATACACAAGTGTATATGCGATGAATACACGCGCGTGGAAATGGATAAACAAATTTTATATTATCTCATATTGTATTAACTTTCTATCCGATTTATATAACATTTGAAATATATATACGTGATATATTTGTGAGTGTGTGTGTGTGTGTGTACATACACACAGAAGAAAATAAATAACAAACGTTTTCTATTACCTTAATAAATAACAAAACGTCGGATCTGTGAATTTCTTTAAGCGCAATACAGCTTATCTTTGCGACACTGCACAATATCAGACATTTTTAGAACGTGCTTAGGGATAGATCACTGATTCTTATCAGCGTGAATCGAGTGTGCTTGATAGAAGAACGTTAAGAAGAGCATCATCGCTCTCGCGAAGTGCTAAAGTGCATTTTATCCTTCCTCCTTATAGCGGCATAAATTGCAAAAGACAGCTGCAATCAATACTTGATGCATTTTTAAGATTGTGAATGTGTTTTTTTTTGTTTCTAAACTACAAAAAAGAAGTCATTCGAATCGAACTGTCCGAATGTCGCGGAGTTTCGGCTAACGTTGCAAAAACACAAAGTTCTTTTTTTGGTGACCAGTGCAATGTCACGTTATCTCACCTTTTTGAGAAGTCAACTGCAAGGGGAAAAAAACTGACGGCAATTTAATTCTTTGTTTTTTTCCACGTACTCAATCGAATTTACTGATTTGTTTTTATTCAATTGTCGCTTAATAAATCACACAAGGATTAGCTCGGATCCAATTGTGTTCCGTTTCAGATTGATCCGCGTATCTATCTACGGTATTAGACGCAAGCTGATTAAGTTGTTTATTTCTAAGGCATTTTCAATGCCAACGGAAAGAGAGACGGAAAAAAACATCAGTCTCGTCGCATTTTACTGCTCGAGAATCAATCTTCTGTGACGCACCTACGCAAAATTCGACCTTATATACGGCCGAAAATCTCCGTTCTATTATCTCAGCGAATTTACCTTGCCGCTCCTGGCCGCCGGGGAATTCTCGACGATGTCGTAGATGACGTGGGCGGCCGGCAAGCCCGCCGACGCCGAGGCGCCGAGCAACGAGAAGCCAAAGGAGCCGCCGGAACCGGAGTCGCCGCGGCACAGGGTGACCAGCAGCTCCTCCTCAGCCATCACGGCACATTGATCCTCACCTCTTCGCTGTCATTTGCCGCGCGCGGTTCACGTTTTCACTATCTCGTGCGCTCTTTCTCTCTCTCTCTCTCTCTTTCCTTCACACTCTCTGTTACCCCCGATCCGAATGATAAGAGAGCGTAGGACGCACCACCTTTATTTGGGTTATTCTCGCCCTCTGCCCTCCTGTCACTTGACGACGGCGTATCTATCCCTCGGGCACGCACACCCACACGCGGGAAGGGGAGGCGCCCTCCTCCTCCTGCCCCCTTACCGCACGCCGCACTGCGAAACGATCGTCGTCGTCGTCGTTGGTCTCTCTCTTTCTTTCTCTTTCTCTCTCGCTCGCTCGCTCCCACCTCGACGCCACAAGGATGAAAAAAGGAGATGCGAAGCTATTCCACGCAATTCACATTATTTACGCGTGCACTATCCGTCCGGGAGAGAAACAGCGCGAGATATAAGGCGTCGCGGATAAATACTGCACACTTTCGGAAGAGTGTCGCGTAATCGCAAGTGGCAAAAACAAACTTCCCGCACGACCGGCTGACACCTCGCGACTGAGGAAACCGACTACAGCGGTGGTGCGGCGCCACCTGCGCGCGCTACCGGTCCTTCACCTCGCTATCGCGTTTCTCCTCTACGCCTGTAGCTGACCAATCACGCAACACCTGGGTCAGGAATGTATCGCGAGCAACGGACACAGGAGCGAATTTGATTCCTCGAATAATTTATTCGCCGTTCTCGAAGCACGCGAGATTTAGCGTGAATCAGATTGTAACTAATCGCGCGTAATTCGATCGGATATCTGAACGGGAAAGTGTTCGCTTAATTGCGATCGAACGTCAATGGAGTTTCGCGAAAGGCCCCTTCTGAAATTGATCTCGCACTGTCGACGAATGTCGGCGATTGGCGCTGTTGCCAGTTGGCTGAGCGCAACCGAGCGAAGATGGAGCCGATCGCACGCCTTGTCAAAGTGTCCGTTCCGAATTATCTAGCCGGTTTGCCGATTCCTGACTCGATAGGCGGATGGTTCCGCTTAGGAGGTAAACGTCCGCTGTGCTATCAGACTTCACGCGTCTCATCCCGCCGATAAATTTTGCACTTCGCGCGTAACTTTGCAAATATAACCTTTCACTTTGATTAGATTGTTAAATTTCTTTATTGACTTGTTTGTTATTATTTTTTGTTTTATGTCAGTGAAGGACTGGCTCGCTCTTCTGCCACCCACTGCATTACTCGTGGGAGTAGGATATATGTCCTACAGGGCGTTTTGCCCTCACGGTAGACCGTCGGTAAGTACATCCTTGTGCTTAGTCATTCTTAGAAGATGGTTTGGTTTGGTGCATATATGGCTCAAAGGACCGTTTCAAGCTAGTCCATACGCCATTCTAAGTCTTTAGGAATCGTGACACAGGTCCTAAACCGTGGTTTGGGTACAAGCCACGGAGTTGTACGTTCGTTAAAAATACTGATAAACTGAAGAAATCGGTGTAAAAACACCGAAGATTGTCCAAAAATATCTAAGCGTAACTACGCACATCTAACCGGTACGGCTGATGCAACACCACTTTTGTCCGAATCGAATGACAAACCATTCTTAGAAGATGGATCAAGGATCGCGGAAAGAGTCTATGATAGTTAATTATTTACGTGTTTAGAAGAGAGAGTTATATAATTCATCAGTTATCTGGTTTTTAAATTCCGTTGTAAACTTGCCCGTAAATTTACTGCACTCCATATTTTCCGCGATTGCACCTTTTCGCTCGGATCATGGAATATATAGGTTGTTTCACAGCACGAATTAATTTATCTTGATGGAAATTTTATTTAAGACACTAGTTTGAATAATTGCTCAAAACAAATTTTTTGTCTCAATGTCGGTCTTTCCGAAAGTTACCAGTTCCACATTGTTTGGAGAACTTGTATTTAAATCGAGATCTGTGTTAATTTGTGAAAAACATCCTGTAGCCTTCATTCCAAGTGCAGAAGACAACACGGTGCAGCTACAATTCCAGAATGTTATCCGAATATTATGAATGAGTTTAATTTTCACTCGACTGTGTCACATAGATTTTTGTTTTTTAGTTGATATACTTGTGTGTTTGATTGCAATATAAAAAATTATCTCGCAATGCAAATATGTATTTTGTAGCCATGTGGGCGAGTTAATCGAACAATAAAAAAGGATGTAGCCAAAGTAGTGGATGAAATTGATATCGAAGATATAGATAAAAAAGCTGTGTTCTGCCGTTGCTGGAGAACTGAAAATGTAAGTTCTTTTGCCGCATCATTTGCAGTTTCATCTTTATTTCTTAATCTGCAACCTACTTAGCCAATGTTTCCAAGAATATGATGTTACCAAATACACATTGTGCAATAACGCAGCAGTGTGCTCTGATTTAAAATGATACACATTTCTCAAATCTTCTGAATACATTAACGATGAAATTTAATTAAGATTTAATTGCTTTTGAACGTTTTTTACGTTCAAAATTAATTTTTACTCTTATATAATTTCCTTTCTTATGTTACACTGTATTTATTGCATAAGAAGAGAACAAGAGAGAGTTTACATAAATTAATTGTTTTATGTGATAAGTTACATCGTTTTTTAAATTATTTTTCTTATACAGTGGCCATATTGTGATGGTTCCCACGGGTGTCACAATAAGGAGCACGGCGACAACGTGGGACCGCTCATAATCTCTCGTTCGTAACTGATAAGCATCATTAACGAACTACATTAATTTTACCAATTATTGTTTCTCAATCATTGTAAGATAACCGTGTTTGCCAATCTGTGTAGATAAACAAGAGATCATACTTATCTATTTTCTCTGTAGATAATTTCCGCAATATTAAAAGTCTCCCAATTTATACATATATGTTGTTCTAAGATATTCAGACACCTTGTGGAAGGGTTTACAAATAAATTTATTTCCCGATATGTGTAATCGTGGATTTTACTGTTACAAATGTGTTTTTACTGTTGCAAGTGGTTTTTAAATTTATTTTTTTAATAAAAAGGACAATTTTTTGTGGACTACAAAAATACATTAATAATTTATTATTTTAATATTCCTTAATTATAATCCTTAATATTTACATCTTGTGTCGCATACGCGACACAGATACAGCAATAAAACTACACCACTTAAATAGCAGATTGTAATAACGAGATATGCGTTTAATAAAAAGTGAACATCAGAGATTAAAATGTCTAAATCGATAATATACTTTGTGTTTACAGTGTTATAATAATGTGTCTTAAAGCGGGCAAGTTCTATACGATGCACTGTTGCAATGTATCACAGATCAAGGAGGTTTTTTTTCTTACATTAACTTAACAATAACACTTACTATCCGTGTAATTGATGAACTGTTTATATATTTTGTTCTCTGTATTTTGTTTTAAGTATCACAGCTGTAAAAAAATATTTATTGTTGTTGTAAGCGATTCATCAGTGATTTCAGATCAGTAGTTTAAAGCGCGTTTTATTCATCATCTTTACTCACCTCATAGTGATGAAAGTCACTCGCATCGAATTCCAAATCGTTGTTCAGCAACTGTCGATGAGTGTATTTATACCTAAATGATAACAAATGTAAATTTTTACACAAACGTGGAAAAAACCGAGAACCTCACGGGAATCTCAGGACCAATAAATAATTATACATCAGAAATCTCAACTTACTCGAGATAACGTTTCCACGCTATCATACCGGTGTAAATCGCCGCTGCAGCTATCACGAGTGTGATTATCATAGTTAACGCAATCTTCTTTTGTGACGTTCCTTCGTCACTCGAAGATTTTTGCGCCACAATTTCTGGATCGCTTTTTAAACTCGTGTTCCGATCGTTGCTCGCATTAGATGATCTAACAGTGCTTATATCTTTTCCATCGTTGGTGTTCTTTGCTAGTGTGATAAATAAAGAAAAAATCATGATTAATATAAATAGATGAAAATACGGTGATTTTCAAAAACTTCCAATGTCAAAGTTTTGTTTCAATAGAATATATATGTATTATTATTAAAAAAAAGTTAAGATACAGAAGGAAGGAGGTTTACCTGTGGGTGACGATGCAGCTTCAACTTCTGTCGGCACGGTTGCATAAAAATAGGATTCGAGTCGCCTTCGAGTAGCGTCATCCGCTTTGTCGATACTCTTTACGTTCTTGTCACTTGGAAAAATTTTTGGCGGATACGTATCGTTGAACTTGGTAATTCCTTGATTCGTTTTGTCTGTCTCATTTTCCTGCGACGCTGTAACAAGTGAGGAAACAAAATTACATTCTTTTCCTGCGCGCGCGTGGAAAACATTTATTAAGAGTTATTTTAGGATATTTTTATTATTAACGCGATAAAAATGTAACGCACAATTTATTGTTGATTCTAATGACACGTCGAAGACATTACAATTCAGCATGTCTTTCGACTCGTCTGCTAAGTGGCATTTTTTTTCATTTCTCTTGTTTTCCGAAGAAGACGTCACCGTCTCGTTGATGCTCGACACGCGCTTAGATAGTTCAGAGAAATTTCCTACATGCGGCGTAGTTTCATCTGAAATCAATAGAAGAATAATAATTAGGTCGTATAGACGCGGTATGAATCACCTTCTTTATTACGTTTTTCTATCTATGACGTCTGATCGCGAAGGTTTTCACAGCGCGAAAGGAAAAGAACAAAGCTTTTTTTATCATTGGTATTCCTACATTAATTTCCTTGAATAAATAATTTTTTTTCAATTTTTTCTTACGATAAAAATTTACAACAAAAATTCAAATGTCGCGTCTCTTTCTCTCTTGTCACCTCGTGTAACTGGAGTTCCGTTGCTGCATCACAATAACGCGGTTATAAACACGCGGAACGAATATTAAGTGTCAATCAAGCGACGTGTACATCTTAAGTAAGCAAGTTCATTGCACTTACTTCTCTCATAACGCATAGTTGATGTAGATTCGGTCGTAGCTGTTGCGCTGTCCGATGTGTTTACCGGTTGCGACGAAGTGGTGGCCGAAATGCTCGTTGTCTTTGATGACGCGAAAGAAACTTCACTCACTAAACACGTAAAATTTATTTATTACCCTCGCGTTGATCTTAATTAAAACTACTAATTATAACGAATAATATACATTTCTTACCAAAAACTGAGACGGCGAAAATAACAATCCATAATGTTCGCGACATTTTATATGTAAAAAGCTTCCTTGACATTGTTTGTTATTTTATATAAGATGATATCGCACGTTTATCTAGTGTGACGTCATCAATATCGCGTGTCGATCGCTGAAATTTAATTTTTTCATCTTAAAAAGATAAGATACTTAGTGCATAGGGAAAAGTAGTATGTTGTATAATATATAAATAGTAAGATGTGTTACATTTATATTATGTTTGTTTATAGATATATATTCTACTGCTTGAATAAAATGCACATGCGCGGAAAAATATTTTTATGAAAGTACTGGAAAAATTTTATATTCTTTTGAATATGTTACAACACTTTCTTCCACTTTCTTGGATCTTCTGATGTACACTCGTGTTTTAATTATTACTTGTAAAATGTGAAGACGTCAAAATGTTTGAAGACATTTATAATATTGTGTAAAAAAACTAACGAAGTTTTCAAATAATAATCCTTTCGATGTAAAAAAAAAAAAAACATTCTTACAAAAAGAAACAATTACTCTGAACTCAGCACTAGTCACTGGTCACAGGTTGAATCTATCCGACTCGACCTAGAACAGGTAAAGAATTCAGTCTCGTTCGGCTTGCCGGAAAAAAAATCGTCAAGAATACAGCTCCAAACACGTGCTCATTGTTCACCGTGACACGGTAACCGAGCGAGCCAGTTTTGTTCTGATCCGTTACGTCGCATCTTTTCATATATAAAATTCATGCTTTCTCATTTCCAGAGTATCTCGCGATATACGTAGTTTTATTATTAAATAAAAAATATTCATTTGCTACAATTACCTTTTCCTCGAATAATAACGAGATTACGAAATATAATAATTAATCAAATAGAGTGCAGCCGGGTTTCGCATGTGACGTTAATGAAAAACTTGCATGATGATTAAAAAATGTTGTTGGCGGAATTTTTGTTGCGTCGTTTCTTGCTTTCGTAATTAAATACCAATCTCCTGATAATAATCACGCTAATAGCACGTAACGTGATGTTGCCTCATAATTACGTTCTCTTCATTCCTCGCGTATTTATGACGCACCAAAAAACATTTCGAAGTAAGGAATAGGAAAGTGTACTCATTAGTGATAGTTCACTTATTGATCTTAGATATATGATATTAATTCACTTTTTAATTTTACGAAGAAAACATAACAAAGAAGCACATACGTACCTTTAATAACGTAAAGAGAACTTGTCGTTAATTTCTCAGCATTTTGTGAACTTTTCGTGTTTTCAAAGTTCCATTGAATGAAAACAATACAATTTTTGAGTCATTTTGTTTCGAATATTTAAATCACTTTTACATCTTACAACTTGAAAAATATTTTCTCAATATATAGTTATTTACAATTTGTTTATTTTTGCAATATTTGTATATTTTTATTATTTTGTTTTATATTAATATTTTCTATTTATTATATTTTTAATATTTTATCTACCGTGCGTTTTTAGTGTAACTTGTAAATGCACAATATTTCTGTATAATATAACGTTGATTTTAATTTGGTTTATTATTACTCGAACACATTGCAATGAGCGTTTGTCACAATTATGCTGGTATCCAGATCCACTTCTACCTCTTAGCGAGGATGATCGCAAACTGTGAGATTCTGCGAGTCTGCGAACCAGCAATGCGCGGTCACTGTATACCGTGTGTCCTCGAAAGTAGGCTCTGACTGGTAAACCGTTCGCACACTTTTCTAACTTAATATACGTATAAAAACATAATTAACAATTTTATATACGTACACAATTTCTCAAAACCTATTTACGCATTTTATGTGGTTAAGATTTATTCAGTTATCAATCCGAGAACTTACACGCGTGTGACGTTTATTTAATTCTGATTTCAATACAATCAAAATGCGTAAATTTTCACTTTAAAAAAATATAAAATATAAATTTTTTTAAAAATATATAAAACGTTATTTAAAAATATAAAACACAATATTTAAATTTATAATAGTAATGCGTTAACATAAAATAAATGAATCAATTATAAATGAAACTACCGACTTCGAAGTCCTACGATAATAATTCAATTACTTGCACACAAAATATAGACCGGTCCAGTAGTCTCGCGACCTGAGTGCGGAATCTGCGAGAGAGGTTCCGAGTTCGAATCCACACCTTTGAATTTTTCCGGGCCGATCTCTTTCAAGTCGAGTTTTATCGATTGAAAAAAACGAATTGAATCTCAGATCTCCAATCAGCTTGAATTGGTTGTGGGAGATGTGGAAGAGGAGTGTAAAGAAATATTGTAATCTTGAGTACGTGTTATATGATTGGTGATTTATTGATTTCTCCGTAATGCATAATACCTAAACAATTTAAGAGTTATGACTAGCATAGTACATAAAAATACATAGTGGTGTCTTTTTGAAACTCCATAAGGGAGAGACATTTTTTACAATACTTACATAATATTTCTGTCGGTAGATTTGCTTATTAAAGAAGTGTGATTGCAGTTTAATGTTATGTTGATGTAATTACAGTACAACATGATGAACACCAATGTGTGTTTTTTTCTCAAAAGGCACGGCGCATTTTATGCAAGCAATTTTCATGTTAAGTCATAGGTCTAATCTTCAACATACTCATAAAAAAACATTTTTCAAGTATTGTTTATATTAATATATGCATATCTCTTCTCAACAAAAAAATAAAGTAACAAACTTTATATTATAACGATATATAAAATAATAATGTTTCTCCTCTCTCTTGTTTGAATTAAAATATTAAACATTATAACAAAACTTATACTTAAAATCATACTTTTGCTTATATATTTACTCTTGAGAATTGAGAACATGTAATTAAAAAACTGTAAGTTATAAATAAATTTATACTTTATAAATTGTATAAATAAATTTTTGATTACAATGATTGTTGTTATACTATTATATGCAAGAGAGCATATATTATTCATAGTTTTTATCACTATATTGCTAAATATATATAAATGTTTTTCCTCGGTTTGATTGTAATAATATAGTCATATTTTTTCAATCAGTGACAATAATTCTTTGTGCTACTTTCTGATAATGATCTTTTTTTACCTATTTTGTTGTTTTTTGTTCAGCAGAAACAATCAATATGTTACAGACAGTTTTCTTGTCGTAAGTTTAGATAAACATGTAATTTTTTTCCTAGTTATATTAATATAATACATAATTCATATATTTTTAATATCGTTATATATACGTATATATATGTATATAAATATTTACTCGCTGGTCGTGGCTTTTTAGTGTTATTTAATTCCGCGCTAATCGCGATTTTTATTGTGTGAATTGCAATTTTAGGAGTTAATTATTATAAAAATAGAACGATTTGAAGAGACATGTACAGCGCTAATTTTACGGGTAAGTATTTAAAACCCGCCAAATATAATATATATTATAAATTAATATAAATATAAAAATACTTCTCAATAGAATAATTATCCTGTCTCTGAGAAGAATTATTTTCTTCGTAAATCGACAACTTCGATGAATGCTGTTACATCCAATTTGCAATGTTTTGCTTTCTAAAATTACAAAAAAAAAGAGAGAAAAGTGTTAGTAATTGTGTACAAATATAATCTATTGTTATTTTAAAAACCTAAAGTTTAATTTTACAAGATCTGGTCTTTTTTCATGTGTTCAATATTTACTAAGCTATAATTTAAAATATACTATTATTTAACGTTATAGTAACTATAAATTTACCGTATATAAAGGTGGTTCGGTGGGGTGAGGATGAAATCCCGTTTCTCTACAACTTGCAATAAAATCTAAGCCATACTCTGGTGTTAAAATGAAAAATCCCGTTCTGCAAAAAAAAATATCATTGACAACAAATTACGAGAAATCGAGGTAAATTTTGATTTAATTAAAAAAAAAATACTGATTTTAAAAATAATAAATCACACATTCATTGTTACATTATTCATTGTAATAATAGTAAATTGATACAGTTTCTTTGCGTTTTAAAATATATAATATACATACTCTTCGTACTTTGGCGCGCAAACTATTGCTATTGCCTCTGCCATCATAAGTTGATAAGCACAATGCGTGTGTAGATCCACGCTCGATAAGAATGCAGTCTGTGTTGGATGCGTCTGAAATACAAGTAAAAAAAATATATAAAAATATACATATTTATTCATAATTCGAAAATTTCTTGTAAAAAATTCTACTTTAAGTAAAAAACTAAATAAATTAGAAAAAATGGAAATCTTCATACATGAATCCAGCCGAGAGTTATAAGATTGTGCTGATCTTGATAATCAAAGATATCTTCTTCATTGTATGTGGTACAAGAGTCCGGTGTGCCAGTTTGTTCTGGAATCAACAGATGTGTCACCAGCAACTTATTTCGCTCCAGTCTGCCAGCCAGAATACCACAGGTCTCTATATTGTTCATTGTGTTGCTGAAAGCGAGCGACAGAAAATTGTGCATCAATTTATTTGGTAAAATAACATCGCGCAAAGATAATCCGTCGCTCGTTAACAGAGAGGGCTTCGTGGAACGATCTACCGTCGGTGTTTTTCTAAAAATAAATATTTAAATTTATACACAATTATATATATTTATCTTCTTATTTATTTCTATGTAACATTTAAATATATTAAACTTTATATGTCAATATTTACAAATATTTTAAAAATAAAATTTCCAACATATTGTAATTTAATAAAACTTACATCTCCTTAGAAGTTTTAGGTATTTTGTCGTCATTTGAGGGACTTATTATAGTAGGTGGTGGCCTGTTTTTTATTTCTTCGGGTATTACTACGTTTGCAGCCTTCGCTGCTCTAACTGCGGCCAAAGCTGCCATTTTATTTCTTTTCTCTTCCTCTTCCTTTTGCCTTTGAAGCTCCTCTTGCCTCAAACGTTCCTTTTCAATTCTTTCTCTCTCCTTCAAACTCGTCAAATACTTATCCAAGTCATCCTGATATTGCTCCAATAATTGCTTCTTCAATTCTTCTGCTCTAGGTATAACAGTTCTTAAAGTTTGCTTATTTGTCATCTTGTCATTGGATGATACGGTGTTATATTGCGGATGTGTTCTTATTTTGTCCACAAAAAGTCTATCAAATCAAAATGTATTTTATATAACATTTACCTATACAAATGTTCAGATGTAATTGATAATGGAGTTATAAGAATCACTGTTTTGATATTTACTAAAATTGTGCAAAATTTGAATTTAAATATACTTAAGACATCTTATTTGACATCAATGCAATAAAGTTTTAAATATACGTCTTTTGCTCCAATGCATGCTATTAATTTAAATGTTTAACTTTGAAAACCAAAGTGACAGTCTATTAATTATTAATAAAGAACATATAGTTAATGACTTTTATTATTAATTACCTACGTTATAAATTTTAAATATAGTACATAGGCATTCTCGTAAGAGCCTTGCATCATGCTCATGTTTGCTAATCTGATCATTTCTACACCAGTGCGGTAATATCTGCAAGAAAATAATATAAAAGAATTAAACAAAAATATTTGATACTTTATATGCAAGTAATAAACATAAATAATGTATAAATTTTATATCTTTTTACCTTTTGGGCGGAATATTGATGTCAATTTCTACCTTCGAACCGCGATCCGAGAGAATCTTGAGCCGTTTCTTGGGATCTAATTCTTTCTGTTTTGCCTTGTCCATTTTGCCAGGTTAGATCAGTCGTTTTCGATAGTATCAAACGTGTTGAAAAAAATATTCAATCTCTTTCAATTTTTCAATATCGAAGATGTCTGTCTTGGCCATTCTAGTAAGAGAAACATAGAACACGACATAGAAAAATAACAGTCGCTCTTATCAAGTCTCGTCATACTCGACAAATCGCAATCTTGCGATCAGTCGCGCCAGATCTGTTCGTTTCAGTTGAGCTTTGGTTCTTTTTCTCTGTAATCTCCCACGTGTTTTCCGCTCTGTACAAAAAAGGAAAAAAGATCTAAAGATAAATTCGCAATTTTACGCTCCGCTTCTCTCTCTAATTTTTCTATTTTGCGCAGAATTGTTAATTACTTCAATCCGCGCTCTGTTTGTGCGTGTGCACGTACACTTCCATTTTCACACACACATTCAATTGGTTTGATTTGTCATGTTTTTGCACCTGATACGAAACAGAGTGAACTGGCTTTTAAACAGCCTTTTAAACAGCGATCAGACGCGGAATTGACCAATCTCTCTCGTTTGAATCGATCAATTTTTTGCCAATCGACCGACACGATTGGTCAATTTCGTTCGTTCGGACCAGTGTATATTCAGCTTAACGACGCGTCACGTTGTTGTATGCGCATTTTGTGCATGTGGCTCGAAAGTCGTAGGCAAGCATCGGAGCTGATCGGAGTTGGTTGTTAAGTTTCCGGAGAAATTTGTGCCTAATCACTCAGTCATTACGTGAAACATGACGGAAGACGAGTCAATGACGGTTTTCGAGCCCTCGATCAGGAACGTGATCGAACAACGTTCCTTGCGATGGATATTTGTGGGTGGCAAAGGCGGAGTCGGGAAAACGACTTGCAGGTAAATACAACCTGACGTAAGTTTCAGTCTGTCATAGTACAAGACAACAAGAATTCAATTGTAACATGTGTAACTGTATTTGTTCGTAATTTGTACGTGACACAACGTATGATACATTAGTTTTTCTTTGTTTTTGCAGCTGCTCCTTGGCAGTACAACTGTCAAAAGTCCGGGAAAGTGTACTTATCATATCCACAGATCCGGCGCATAACATTTCTGATGCGTTTGATCAGAAGTTCAGCAAGGTGCCAACCAAGGTGAAGGGCTTTGATAATTTATTTGCCATGGAGATTGATCCTACTGTTGGTATCACGGAATTGCCGGAAGAATACTTCGAAAATGACTCAGGTTTGTTTCTAACAAAAAACTATTACTTCAAAGCAGTTCCATGTGTGTTTAGAGATATAAGATTTGTTCTAAATATTTACAGTTACAGGAGGAGAGGCATTTAAGATGAGCAAGAGTGTTTTGCAAGAAGTTGTTGCTGCATTCCCTGGTATAGATGAAGCAATGAGCTATGCGGAAGTCATGAAGTAAATATTTGTATCTTTATAATTTTTTTTTACCTCTGTGAATATCAGGAGAAAATAAATGTGTTTGATTGCTTTTAGGCTTGTAAAGGGAATGAATTTCTCAGTTGTGGTGTTTGATACCGCACCTACTGGACATACTCTGAGGTTATTATCGTTTCCACAAGTGCTGGAAAAAGGACTAGGAAAATTAATACGATTGAAAATGAAGATTAGTCCTTTCATCACACAGGTTAGATTAAGATAAATACATGTTATAAATATACATCAAATGTGTTTTCTGAAAAATTAAGAAAAAATGTTTGTTATAGTTTACCTCATTGTTTGGTTTCACGGACTTCAATGTAGACACATTTTCTAATAAAATGGAGGAAATACTTACTGTTATTAAGCAAGTTAACGAACAGTTTAAAAATCCCGATCAGACGACTTTCATATGTGTCTGCATAGCTGAGTTTTTGTCGCTTTACGAGACGGAACGACTTGTGCAAGAGTTAACAAAATTCGGCATTGATACGCACAACATCATAGTGAATCAGCTATTATTCTTAAAAAAGGGCGACACACCTTGCCGACTTTGTCTCGCCAGGCATAAAATACAAGATAAATATTTAGATCAGGTATTTCATATTTTTGTTTGTCAAGTAATACGTACCGCCATTTTAAATTATACATTAATTGTATTGGCACAAAAAATATTAAATACTTTTTATTTTCTCTGAAGATACTGGATCTTTATGAGGAATTCCACGTCACACGGCTTCCTTTACTGGAGAGAGAAGTGCGAGGAGCTCAAATGGTCAGGGAATTTTCGGAAAATCTTGTTAAACCGTACATGCCTTAGCATCTATGTAATTAATACCTATTTATAATAACATATATGATATATATATATATCTCGAAAAAGATACTTTCCAAGTTTTTGTGTAACTTACTTTTTAGAAACTTTGCGCATTAATAAGCATTAAAAATTTATATAGAAAGGTAATATCTTTATTGTGCTGCCCGAGTGAAGTATTTTTTTATCGCATTATATATCTAGAAATTTGGTGTACGATGCGCATATCGGTCATCATGTAATCGCTATATTTAATCATATAAACCAGCTGAAATCACGAGAGAATAGTTACATATACGATAACAAAAGATATTTATAATGCATATATAAAAATTGTCTCTAATTTTTTATATTGTCGAAAAATATATTTATGGAATCACTGCAAGTTCTTTTCCAATTTGTATAAAAGTGTTCACGGTTTGATCTATATCTTCGTTGGTATGCGCAGCGCTAATTAGAACACGTATTCTCGCTTTATTCTTCGGCACCACGGGATAGCTGAACCCAATAACGTAAATTCCTTTTTCTGAAAAAAAAAAACTTTACAAATTATTTATCACATAGGAGAGGAGAAACAAATATATATGTAACAAATATATACGTGTAGCTCTACCTATCATTTTATTTGCAAACGTTGCCGTTAATTTCGCATCGCCCAGCATAACGGGGCAAATGGGATGATTATCGCCGCTGATTGTAAAACCGGCCGCGGTCATAGCGTTTCTGAAACGCTTTGTATTTCCGGCCAAACGATCCAAGAACTTTGTGCTATGCGTTATAAGATCCATGACCTGTTTAATAATAATGCACTTGAAGTCTTGTATTTTATAATGTTAATATGTACAATATTATTCTCGTGATTATTTACAACATGCATTATTCTCGTGATTTATTTACACGCATTGTTTTGTAACACTATGACACAATATATACAATTTACTTTAATTGCCGACGCTACTACGGGCGGCGGCACGGAATTCGAGAACAGATACGGTCGACTTTTCTGTCTTAACAAAGCGACGATCTCCTTTTTACTAGTCGTGTAACCGCCCGACGCTCCTCCGAGAGCTTTTCCTAACGTGGAGTTAATGATATCGATGTCTCCCAAATGACCAAAGTACTCTTCCGTACCCCTACCAATATTAAATTGGGATAAGAATTTATTGATATCGTATTTGAAACGAAAAATATTGCGAGGTTTTTCAATTTATACCTGCCAGTTTTGCCAAAAAACCCAGTTGCATGGCAATCGTCCACAAATGTGACAGCGTCGTACTTCTTGGCGAGTTCGATTATCTTCGGCAGTGGTGCGACTGTACCGTCCATCGAAAACACTCCATCCGTAGCAATAAGGCGCAAACGTGCCGATTTGTTCTCCTGAAGTTTACTTTCCAAATCCGTCATATCTCTATGCTTGTATCTTGATATTATAACAAAACAAAAATACTGTAGCAATGAGGTATAGAAATTTTATTTGTAAATAAATAACAGCTGAACACACACAACAGAGAGTACCTGCATTTCTTCGCTTTGCACAATCGTATTCCGTCGATGATGGACGCGTGATTCAATTCGTCGCTCAGCACCGCGTCATCGGCAGTCAACAGAGTCTCGAAGATACCGGCGTTTGCGTCGAAACAGGACGCGTAAAGTATCGTGTCTTCTCTGCCGTGGAACGTGGAAATCTTCTTTTCCAGTTCGACGTGTAATTCGTGCGTCCCGCACACAAATCTTACGGAGCTCATACCAGCGCCGTATTTGTCCAACGCAATCTTCGCCGCGTTAATAATGTCTTTGTTATCCTGTACTTGCGTAGGAAGTTTTTTTTATTGAAACACATTTAAAGTCCTCGTTGTAATTTTGAATTATTGCCTGAAAATCAATTAACTCACCGATAATCCTAGATAATTGTTCGAGCAAAAGTTGAGCGCCTCCTTCCCATTTGACAATGTAATCCTCGTTCGTTGAGGTGAAGCGATCGCGATCTCATTTTTCCACGTGCCGGCGTTTACTATCGCCGCCAATTCGGGTTCTACGCGAGCAATCAACGAACTTATTCCTCGACGATTGTTTCGTCCGATGTAGTGGAATTTTGAAACTGCGCAAAAGAATTAAAAATCGTACGGTCATTCAGCACGATCAAATGAATTTTACATTTAAGTAATATAGCATTTAAAAGATAAACGTACTTTTTCTGAGATTGTTATACATACTGAGCGCGGTATGATCTGCTTCTTTACATTTCAAGCACTACGTGTTGCGACGATCAAACGATTTTTAGAAAACGAACGTACGAGTTGATTGAGAAGCAGTCAAACCAGTTTTTATAGCTTAGGTGTGTACGTTTGTAACAGAAAAATATCTTGAGCTGGTTACCGTATAGTTTTCATCAAGTAAACATGTTTGTCAAACACTTTTATAAATATACAACGGATCGGGATAAATGATACAGTGGCGCGCGATGTATAATTATTTTTTTTTTCTCTTTATTATCTCTCTCGCTTTAGAGCGAAATGCTGTCTGGTTTTTTACATCTTTCTGTGTGTAAACATATCTTTCTATGTATGTACAGAACAGTAAGTAAACCTGTAAAATCAAAGAGAGAACATTTTATTATATTTTATTAAATACCTAAAAACAACACACAATTGAGCTCTGACGGAAACCAAATCTAGTATAAATACAATATCATACGTATTTATAAAGCGCATCTTTAATGATTACAGACTCGAGTTGAAGTATACCTACTATATATATATACATATATATACAGGGTGTCCCAGAATAGCCGTACAATCTCTCGTAGGCAGATAGAAGGAATAAAACTGAGTCGAAAAGTCCTGAACCATTTTTTTCTATTATTTATAATAAAGGAGTAATTATTGAGTAAAGCGGGCCAATCAGCGCAGAC